ATTATATATATATATATATATATGATCAGGAACACCAAAATTCAAGTTACCACGCTACACAGGTTTCAACTGTTTGGGCTCCTCAGGCAGGTAGGATGAAATATTTTAGTTGAATCCACCACCATTATATATGAACAACTGGAAGTTAGTGGTGGGAGGGAAAAAATAAGAGGGAAAATGCAAAAAAAAAAAAAAAAATAATATTTTCATCCAGGTTTGTACATACACAACAAATATTTGCTAAGGTGTCTGTACTTCGATAACACCTCAGATCTTTCATTTAGCAGTTCATCCTTGTTTGGGTATGGGTTTTGGTGTTGCCCATTACATTTTGTTCTATAACTCAGATTTTTGGGATCTTGTATTGAGCGCTTTTTTTGATTGCACCTTCTTAAACGCGGCTGATTACAGCCTCCTATTACAATATACTACAAATGCATATATATATATATATATATATATATACATATATATGTGAAAAATATATAGAAAATAGGAAAGAACTCGTTAGGTAAATGATGCAAAGTTCTTTAGTATTTTTGTTATTATTTTTAAAAAATAGTGCTCGAAAAAAGGTAGAGCATAAATATAATTATTTATTTAAAAATATGATTCCAACATCTTGTTTTGAAACATGAGAACTCTTATGTAGCGTGTTGGAATCATATTTTTAAATAGATAATTATATATATATATATATATATATATATATATATATGTTAGCAAATATATGGACATAGATCTGACAGTATGAAGAAAAATATATGGAAAAACAAAAATCCGAATATGCAATTATGCTGTTTTAATGTTTAAAACAGCATAATTGCATATTCGGATTTTTGTTTTTCCATATATTTTTCTTCATATACATATATATATATATATATATATATATATATATATATATATATATATATATATATTTTTTTATGGCTTGTCAACCGTTTGCAGGTTATTTAAGTCAGAAAATATTTTTAGATTGTAAGTTTTTGAGATAATAATGATGTAATGATATATCTTACAAATTAACCCATAGCTGGGGAAGAAGAGGTGCATTCCTATTTTCCCCAAGGTCATTTGCACATAAGTCAATATAACAAACTCAACTGGAATTGGAGCTCAGCTCTCCGATTTCCAATGCCAAGCTGGTATCCATTAAACCACCTGCACATCCAAGCCTACAGCATTTGATATTCCCAAGCAGTGACTCATCTACATACTGACCAGGCTTGGCATTGCTTAACTTCGGTGATTATATGGGAACCACTGTTTCAACGTAATGTAGCCATAAGCCAGAATGTATATGTACTAACAAAAAAAATATATGCATATTATTTGGAATGCACCTTTTTGAGTCGGACACACTTGGGTCTCAACTATGGGTAAATAGTTAACCCTAAACTGGGGTCAAAACACTATGAAAGTATAAAAATAGGTTTTAATACCAGCAATACATTTCTGAAAAAATGTTACCAGTAATAAAAATCTTGTCGGCATTAAATAACTCATTGAGGTGTTGATATGCCATAAAAGAAACTAAACCAAACCAAGTAACCTCATATTTCTCACTTCCAAAATGTTTTTGTACAAATGGCAATTTTATTTTAGCTGCCCAACCTAAAAATTGTTCACCTTACATACCAACTAAAACGTTTTTGGTAACAATTTCTAGCATTTTTGTAGATAGTTGAGTTTGTTTTCAATTCCTGTCTGATGCTCCCGTTCTGCTAAGTAATGTCCCAGATAGAAGCAAAAGTTTAAGAGATTTATGTGCTGTGTCAACAGCGATATCTAACAAGTAGAAGTAAATTCCTTTCATCAACAGAAGGCTAAGTATTGTTTCAATGCAGACTGTATATCCATGGCTAAAAGGTCTAAAAATACTTAACTGACAAATATAAGAACTAAACACTTTCAGTCTAGAGTTCTTAGGTCAGCAAAAGGAGAGAAAAAAAAGAAGAATCAGGTATGAAAACATTATCAAAGAATAGTGTTAATTCTACCCAATTGAATTGCAACAATGGAAGGTTTGTCCCGAGGTGATAAAAGCTCAATGTTATAGTGTGATGTGCTGGTGCTTGACAATAGAACAACATGAGAGCAGTGATGATGATGATGTTACGAGGAAATAAAAGTATAAGATATGCTTCAAAATTAATGCCTTCCCTCTCTCTTTCTCTCTATATATATATTTATATATAAAGACATTTTTATGTTTATACATTCTTTTTTTATAGATACAAATATTTAAGTAAATGCTCTGTTAATAATAAACAGTATTAACAATATTTACCAGCCTGATTGTCATAGAAAATATGCATCCTTCGACAGGAATTGAACCTGTATCCTATACTGAACCATCATATAGTCTGACATGCTTTACCGATTGAGCCACAGAGGAGCATTTCGGTTAGCAAGGTTGATTTTTTTTGTTTTTAAACTACAATTTTTCATGATTTTCTCATGTACATTCTATGCGTATCCAAATGTAAACAAATGACGTCACACATTATTATAAACAGAGCATTTACTTAAATACTTGTATCTATAAAAAAGAATGTATAAACATAAAAATGTCTTTAAAAATAATATATATATATATATATATATATATATATATATATATATATATATATATATATATATATATTTCTATGGGAACAACAGATAGTGAACACAAATTGGATAGAACAAGTTTTCAGCTAGAAAACACTATTTTCCCCATATAGTCACCATTATTGGCTAGTTACTGTTGCTCCAAAAGTAATACCTCCTATTTATCTTTGCAGAAACTACAACAGATACAGGGAGCACAATGACACTGTTGGATAGAGCAAGTTTTCAGCTACAAAATACTATTTTCCCACATAGACTCCACCATTGGCTATGCCTTTGTGTTCCAAAAGTAATGCCTCTTATTTATTCCCACAGAAACTACAACAGATACAGGGAGCCACAATAGCCCTGTTGGATAGAGCAAGTTTTCAGCTGGAAAATACAATTTTCCCACATTGTCACCACCATTGGCTATACATTTATCAGTAATGAATAAGAACTTCTGAAGAGTCAGCTATAAAATGATTTGTCCACACCTCACTGTTGCCACTTACTCATTATCTGACTGTGCTCACATCTACTGTTTGGTTTCAACATTCAGCAAACATCAATAAAAATTATTGGGTACAATTTTTTTCCACATGTAGGAATCTATTGAAACAAGTGTTTTGCATGTACTTACATGTCAGGTGCCATTTTGCTCCACTGCTATCTGTAAAAAGTTAAAAAAAAAAAAAAAAAAAAAAAAGCCCCATCCACCCACCAAAAAAAAATTATGGATAATTAGTGGAAGGGTTCACCTTCCACAGCCATTCACTAACATCTTTCTCTGATTGTGGGTTAATAGGAGGCACATTGCTTCCAAAGTGACAGCTGTAGTAGAATAAGAAACCATTCCCATGCATGGAATAAACAATGTGTTTATTTAGCAGATAACAAATAAGCAAAACAATATTGTTTGTTTTTTTTTAACAAAATTTAAAATTTATTTACAGTAAAAGCAAGTAAATTCCAAAATGGCTTAATCTTGTTTGTTAATTTTATTTAAATGACATTTTCATATGTGGTGTTGTCAAAAACAGTTAAGAACTTCACAAAGATTCATTTTAAAAATGAGTCGCAATTTTTTTTTTCATTTCAAGAATTATTTTCATGTTTGAGACATTCTTGAAATGAGTTCTGAAACACTGAAGCCTTGAAACAATTTTGCAAAGGATTGAGAAAATATTACCAACCTGAATTTATGAACAATAACCATCAGGCAGGATTTGGGAAGATTATATTTTCAGTTTAGCTTTCTTAAAAAAAAAAAAAAAAGTACCAAAAAATACCAAAGGTACCAAAAATACTGTATATAATTGAGAATAAGTCAATTGATGTTCAAGTGACTCTTAATTTTTGGCTGAGAAATCATCAGCTTTACACATACCTTTTTGCATTGAACACACCCATTTCTTGAGGGTAATGGAACATGTCAGGATAACATAGCAACATATAAAAAAACCTTTTAATTCTCATTAAATTCCATTGTATTCTTTCAAGTTGCAAACTCCAATGCAGTACTGAATGAACATGATAGCAAATGCTATATGCCATGCATTTTTGAGGGCTCTGAATTAAATACTTTCAATCTGTCAGGTGAAATCACCATCTTATGAATCTGGCATAGCTTAGGTATCAGGGAAGATGTATCTTTAATTATTTATTATCTCGGGTAAGATTATTTCGAGGCTGTTAAACTGAACTCAAATATCTCATTAGAATCATTTGCCTCATTTTTTTCTGCATTTGTATATTATGTTGATAGAAATAAAATATTTACCTCTTTTACAAGTTCTATCACTATATAAGTAATTTATGATTTAATAAGTATATTTGTTTAATTAGGGCCTCTTTATAACATATGCTACAGGCTTTGCACCAGCTTAATCTGGCCATGTCACAAAGGCGAAATATTTGACATTTATTATAATACAGTACTTTTCAATGGAACATGGGAAATTTGGTCAAAAACCTATATTTTCATTCATTTAAGATTAACTGATTTGTTCTTTATGTCTTATCAACCTTTTGAAGGTTATTTAAATCAAGAAAATTTTTTAGAATTTTTGGAGATAATGATTTTTACTGATACAATTTCTACTAATCAACCCATAGCTGGGGGAGAAGAGGTCAATTCATATCATTCCTAAGGGTATTTTTGCATGTAAGTAAATATAACAAACCTGACTGGAATTGGAACTCAACTCTCCAATTTCCAATTACAAGCTCTTATCATTACACCACCCATACATCCAGGCTTACTACAGCTGGTATTTCCAAGCAGACACCCAAGTAGGAACTGACCAGGCTCAATGTTGCTTAACTTCAGTGATCATATGGAAACTGGTCTTTCAACATGATATAACCATAAGCTTATTCACCACACCATCTACACATCCAAGCTTACAGCACTTGGTATTCCAAAGCAGTTACCCATCTAGGTACTGACCAGGCTCAACATTGCTTAACTTCAGTGATAATATGGAAACTGGTGTTTCAATATATGACCAAAAGCTTATTCACCACATCATCTACACATCCAAGTTTACAGCACCTGGTATCCCCAAGCAGTCACCCATCTAGGTATTAATCAGGCTTTCACATTGCTTAACTTTGTTGATTGTATGAGAACCTGTGTTTCAATGTGATATGGTTGTAAACCACATTCATTTAAATTAGATGAGGATTCTTATTGCAAGACTTTGAAGCAAATTTTGTTCATGTCTGAAGTTCTGAGTTGCTTCTGTTCCCACTGTGAAGCGACATTAACAGAACAAAACTTTTAAACACGTATCAGTGAATCCACAATTTGGGGGGTAAAAATAGGGGGGTCATTAAGAAAAAAAAAAAAAAAAAACAAAGAAATTCAACATCTACAAAAGTATATGCTGCATTGAACAGCCAAGAAACTTCCATAGCATTTTAAACTCAGTTTAATTCTATTTGCCATTTCATTTTTATGCAGTTTCTTTTTTAGCGATCAAGAAAAAGATTTCTTTTACTTTCAGTTGATAAAGGTATTGAAACCAGTTTGGTAAATAACCTTGTTTGAAGATAATCAGAAATACAGCTGACCAAAACTTGGTAAAAAAAAAAAAATAAAAAAAATAAGACAATTATTAAATTTATCAATGAAAGTAAAGTTTTTAAATCTATCAAACTCCTTGTCTTTTTATGTACATCCCATAATAATTGTTACAATTAATTTATGAAATGTGTATGCAAATTGGATAGAAGTCATCATAACCAGTTATGATTGTCAGGTTACTACATATATTGCAGCCATAGCAAGAGGTTGTCTCTTAGGCAAAGCCTGAAGGCTGGTTTTAAATTCAAAGTTTTCCTTCTCCTAGACTAGTTTCTACCTCAAGGTAAGAGAACCCAGTCAGCCCTACTATTTGACCCATAGCTGGAGGAAGATGGATTTATGCTTTTTCCAGGGGCAATAGTATGAAGTGAATGAAACAGAATCAAGTGGGAATTGAACTCGGGATGCTGAATTCTCTTTCCACACCTGCCATAGACTGACAAAGGTATTATAATTATTTAAAAGCTCCAGAAAAACCAAGAAAATTTAAAATATCTCATTTAAAAGAACAGCTGATGAAAAGCAAACGTTTGCCTCGCAAGGAACAACACTTGTGATCTTTATTGCACTATTTGAATCTTGATGCAAAATGGACACCGTCATTAGGTTTCTTTTCATTATTCTTAAATAAACTTTTATTTTTTGATTAACCAACAATATTTTTTATCTCCTAATTGAATCCAAGTAGAACCCACTTGAAAAATATTTGCACAATTTTGGAATATGGTTTAAATTATACAAAACTGGCAAAGAAGTCATTTTTATAATATTGTGTTTTTTGGCCTATAAGATGCATCTTACTTTCCAAGCTATTTTCAGAAAGAAACCTAATCTGCACAAATATAAGGAGTGGCTGCATCAGCTTCCACACCTTACAGTAGAAGACATAAAATGCCTACCATATATAAACTTCTCTTACTAGGGAAAAAAAAAAAAAAAAGAGAGGGTGTCATGAGATAAGTGATTCCAAGAATTATTTGGTTTACTGAACTTATTTTTTTTTCTTTTTGTTGTTATCACAATTTTTCAGCCAATCCATTCTCCAGTCTTCCTCAGGTGTACATACTCCATATGAGCAGAGAAGCTCTATTATTTTACAGGACAGTTCAATCAACCTTTTCATTTTGCCCTCTAGACTAACTAGACACGATCTTCATAAAAATTATGTTTAATTAAATGGTTACATACAGTGTGTGATGGGTAAATTGTCACCATCTTCTATTTTTAATTTCATACATGTGTGTTTTTTTTTTTTTTAATTTTATCAACTGCACAGTATAGTAAGGTCAGTTGGACACTGTCAGATAAAGGTCACCATGACACAATTCACTCTGAGAGAAATTTGGAAACAGCTTACTCTACTGCTTGGCATTCGTGCCGGAAGCTCCAATACAAACATTTCAAGAGTGTTTGGGTGTCAATATGAGGATAGTGCAGAGGATTCAGAAAGAATTGGATGATATATCCAGTCAACATCATGGAGTCTGGGGTGGTCACTAGTGATGGCGACATTATGCCTCCATTCATCTTCCAACAAGACCTCAGACTCAACACGTAGGACTATATCAAGTGCCTTGAGGAGGTAGTGCTGCCCTTGGTCAAGACGGTAACTGCTGGAAGGCCCTATGTCTGGCAATAGGACTCTGCATCATGCCACACAAGCAGGAGAACCTCATCATGATGGTCTGTCAATTCTGTGACTACATCACCCTTTCAATTTGGCCACCTAACTCCTCAGACTGCACCCCCCTTGATTATTATGTGTGGAGTGCAGTTGAGCAAGAGACCAACAAAACTCCTTGTAACACCAAAGATGAACTGAAGGCAAGAATTATGGCAGCATTTATCAACTTAAACAAGGAGATCGTCCACAAGATTTGCAGGAGATTCCAAAGTTGTCTAGAGGCTATGGGTGAAGCCAATGGCGATTTTATTGAATAAATTGCCCCTTTAGTATTTCAAGATATTTTTGCGTAATTTTGGTAAATATACCTGTTAAAATGAGATGTCAGTATTATTTTCATTTTTGCATAATTTAGACGACAATTTATTCATCGCACCCTGTAAATTTCCTCTCAATATATTTACCAGCATTAAAGATTTCATTTTTTTACCAAAGATAAACTTTGAAAATTTACAGTGAACCATTGAAGGCAAATATGATACGACATTGCTTGCAGGCTATCACTTAATTACTGAGAAAGCGATTTCATATTTCCCCCCAAATTTAGCTAAACACATTAAGAGTACATCTTAGGTAATCTCTTCATCACTGGGAAAGAAAACATAAAAACTACATTGATTATTATCATATTATTGATTATTACCTTAAGTGCAAACATCAAGAAGTTTAGAAATAGAATTTTGAGATATATTAAGTGGGCGTTGTATGCTCTGGTCTTCTTCAGGTGGTTGGAATATCGAACTGAACCCTTTATTTCACTCACAGGGGTAGACTGTTCTAGTTCCACGTGCCATGTTTAATGGATGTCAGTTATCAGTTATCTCCTGTTAATTTCCCTCTGAAAGTTCTCCACTGCCTTAACCTTGATCCAGTGACAGGATACAAAGAGTGTGAGTTCAATACTCGGTTAAGGCAGTGGAGAACTTTCAGAGGGAAATTAACAGGAGATTACTGATAACTGACATCCATTAAACATGGCATGTGGAACTAGAATAGTATACCCCAGTAAGCGAAATAAAGGGTTAAGTTTGACATTCTAACCACCTGAAGAAGGCCAGAGCATACAACAGCCGAAACGTTGTAATAAATATGGTGACAAAGATGAGGACAATAGTCCGAATAATGTAAATAATGTACATAATAATTGATCTCAGAAATATAGACATCAATTTTGAAAATTTAATTTCAAGTGAAGCTTACTAGGTGTTCCTGAATTAAAATGATATTTTTTTTAAAATGATAGTTATAAAGGAGGGGGGGGGAATTCTGACAATTTGTTGTTATTTTAATTGCATTAACAGTTTATTCAAAACAAAAACAATCAGTTTCAAACAAATAACAGGCTATATTCAGTTGTCTGATGGTGTCATATTGGAAACATTTTTCATCATGTCCTAATGTTTCCCATGTGATAGAAAGCAAATATCAAACAAGTAAAACTTGTCATTTTTTTTATCCATTTCTCCTTCAAAATATTTATTACCTCCCACAACACAGCAATTATCCATTACACCACCAGCACATCCAAGCTTACAGTACCTGGTATTCCCTTGTGGTCACCTGTCAAGGTACTGGCCAGGCTCAACATTGCTTAACTTTGGTGGTCGTACAGGAATTGGTGTTTCAACGTGATGCAGCTGTAAGCGTTGGTCAGAGAGAGATTATATGAAAGGCTTTAATCCTGTTTTGAAAAGCCCAGATGTAAAAGTTGTTGAAAAAAAAGCCTTTTACAAAACAAAATCAAGAAAAGTTGCAAACTTCTTAAAGTTTTTCAAATATTGGTCACATAATATCTGTCATTCAATCACGTCTGGTGGAGATGTGTATCAGTGTTCAATTACACCCAGGGATTATTTCTGTTCCCACACAATATAGATGACGCTAAATTGCACGGTTCCACAGCTCGGGTACTTCCAATGAAAACCTGTTAAAGATTAAATAAAATATAAATCATCATCATCATCTGCACCTTAATATATATGCACATGTAGACAAGAAAAAGAAACTTGAAAAGTGTAGTCACAAAGTAATTCCCTAATTTGAATAATGTACATTTCAGGAAATGGTCACGGTTACAACTGAATGAAAGTCATCAGTGGAGCACCCTGTCAAACGCCCGACAAAAGACCAGTTCCCTATACAAAAGGCAACAGACAAGTTTATTTCACTATACAAAAGGTTTGGTTTGTTTTTTAATGGACTATTTGTTGAAATTTAATTTTCTTGGGAGCTTTGGTAATTTTTTTTTTTTTACTATTAAAATCTATTGCTGGAAATTTTGGTATTTTTTACTATAAAAATGTATTTTTATACTTTCATAATGTTTTAACTCAAGTTTGGGGGTTCACTATTTGTCCATAGCTGGGATCCTCACAGATGCTACTACTCTGAATCAGGGTGTACCTGGGAACAACAGCAATTAAGAAGTGGTTCCACACTTCTCTAAATCTCCTGATCAGAGTTCTTGCTGCCGGATGTAGTTTATTTCACTATACAAAAGGAAACAGATGAGTTTATTTCACTATACAAAAGGAAACAGATGAGTTTATTTCACTATACAAAAAGTAAAAATGAGTTTATTTCACTAGACACTATTGGCCAAAGTTTGAAGTGCAATATTCTAATGAGAATGAATCTCACATTAAACTTGCAGAATTAAGAAGAGTCTTTAAAATAGTGTCATGAAAATTCCATTCATACAAAATACATCCAATTAATTCCAACTAAGCATGATTTTTGAGAAAAGAATAAGGAAAATCTTTTAAAAATTTGAGAATCTCAATAAATGAAAATGATAAGTAACACTTTTCAGGAACTGCAATCTATTTGTTCGTTCTAAGCATTCCACAAAGTGTCAGAGTTTATCATTTAAAGCATGTGTAATATACAAAGAGCAAATATTATGGCAAAGTTTAACATACAATACTGGCAACAAAAATTGTGTGTCAAAAGGTCAGGATTTTTGTGCTTTTTTTCCCCCCCTCTTGACACTATTATTACTGTAGACTCCATTGATAATTTTTCATTATTTTAAAAAACTATTTTTAGAATTTAATAAAGCCTAAACATGAAACTGTTTTTATATTTGTTTTTTCTTGACAAGCATTATACTGATATGTTTTTCAGATATTTTTATAAATTTATGATATGCTCTGATCAACAGAGTTACAAACAACAAATTAGTCAGACAAGACCTAAATTGTACCTTTAAGCAAAAACCTCTCTCACCATAGATCTCCTGAAATTTTTTGTGTTTACAGTTTCAAATCCAGACATAAAGCAAATTTTTAAAGAAAGTAATGGATGTTTTTTAATAATCCAATAAATGTTTTTATCACTTTAGATGTTATTTTTAGTAGATACTTATATTTAAGTGGATGCTCCGTTTATTTATTAAACAGTTTATTTTCCTCTACTGGCCTAAATGTTTGATATACTGTTCAATAAATAAACAGAACATCTACTCAAATATGAGTATCCACTAAATAAAACATCTAAAGTGATAGAAACATCTGTTGGATTAATATAAAATCTATCACTTTCTCTAAAAATATGTTTTGTCTACATTTGGATACAAAAAATTCAGGAGATCTATGACAAATGAGGTTTTCGCTTAAAGGTACAATTCAGTCTGGTCTGAATAAATTTATGTATAAATTCTTTATAATATGATAAATAATAAATGTTACATTGTAGTTCACATATTTTTATGATCTTGTAGATATAAAAACATTTTTGTAGTAAACTATACAAATATTTTTATAATCTTGTAAATAAATTATTTATTGGTGTCATTGACAAATTAAATCCTGTGCTCTTGTAAAAAGAATATTGTTATTGTGCTTGTGTTTTTTATAATCTTGTAAATAAACAATTGAATAAACAGTGTTTAACATTTTTGTTGTCAGTTCTCAAAAGAAAAAATGTATAAATCTAGTTTCATATGCTTGGGTTTTATTAAAATTCTAAAAAAAGCTTTTTAAAACAATAAAAATTGGCAAAGGAGTACATAGTAATAGCAGTGTCTAGAGAAAAACCGTCCTCTTTTTTTTTTTTTGCTTGTACATATGTTAAACTTTGCTAATGTTATTCTTATGCCTCCTTTTCCCACTATGTTGTAGCATACCTACAGACCATAATGGGTATGATCACATTCACATAAATACAGTAGTAAATACTGTATGTTGGTCTGCAGTTGGAGATTCATTGTGGGATGCATTTGACTCACTCCTAGCAGTTGACAACTACTTCTACGTGCCACTGATGAATCATATATGTGTTGTTCTTGTCTTACGTATTATCGTTTATTACCAACCTTCATTTGATTATTCTATTCAGTAACCTTCCTTAGGTTACAACACATTACAAGTTTAAATTAGATGATGTAAATAACACTGTATAATTATAAGTTATATATAAGAGTAATTTCTTGATTGTATCATTTATATCATAGCCAACACTTGTTTAATCTGAATCTGATAGCAAATAGACTATTTCTTAAATAACTGAGTGGGTGGAATTTACTGGACACAATGGATTCAGAAAACAGAGAGGAGGAGGAGGAGGAAGAGGAGGAGGAGGAAGGAGCAAGAAAATTGTTGGTTTTATTCTTCTTTTCATTCTTCAGATATTGAACTTACATTGTTATAATAATTTATGAATAAAGAAAAATAAAATACTAAGATGAGAATAAAAATTGTTTGGAAACTGCTTTGTGATTATGTGAATAGGTCAAGTGTTAATCAATATTTTCTTTATTCAACATTTTGTCAATAGAGAATCATCAATAATTGATTTTCATTGGAAATTGTATTCGTCATAAACAGGGATGGACTGCATTTTAATGATGATGTAATCAAAGGAAACTGAAGTGCCAAAATATTAGTAGTATAAAGGTTTTTCCATTTTTCACTTGTAGAAATCAACTCAGCCAGATGATTTATGTGTGTAACATAATAGGTAAAGAGGTAGTGTAGCAATGGCAGCTATGAAATGTAGTCAGAATTAAACACTGGATTAAAACAGTAATGATTAATGAGGCAAGGAAGAAAGAGCATTATATCCAAAATGACAACTGCTGTAGAATTTTCTTGTGCAACAGTATCAAGAGTATACCAGGAATATGAGAATTACAGACTGCATGTGCCCACTGGTGAAAGATGAATTGGACACCCAGTGACCAACAAGGTTAGTAACCACCCAATGGAGGGTAACATCACACCAAATCATGTCCTCATACAATGTTAATGCCATTCAACCTGTCAGTCAATGTACAGTGTATATTTCATTTCAATGGGGTTTTGATAAGTAGGGGTATCATCACTGTTATTATAATATCAGTTACTGAGCCCCATTCAGGCCAGGGAACACCAACATTGGATTGCAGAAGACTAGTGCCATGTTACCTGGTCAAAAAAATCATATTTCCAGCTTCTTAGAACAGATGATCAAGTTTGTGGAAGAGTCGTTGCTATAGATCCAGCCTGATAGCAAAGAGTTGTGCAAGCTGGTCAAGTAGATTCTGCTGGAGTTTAAAAAAAAAATCACTTGTGAAATTGAAGTCTGTCTTGATAGGTGTGTGATATATAATAATTGGCAAAGTTTAACATTCATAAAAACAAAAACTATATGACTGAGGATGTGTCTGGCTAAAGCCTCCATCATAGGCAAACTTTGGATTGGTGATATTCTTTCACAAGTGGAAAGAAAGAAAACTTCTAAATAATTTCTGACATATGAGGTCAGGATACTGAGAACTATATGACTGAGGATTTGTTTGGCTAAAGACTCTGTCATAGGCAAACTTTAAATTGGTTCTGTATGTTCACAAGTGACAAGAATACAATCTAAATAAATTTCTGGCATGATAGTGATTTACAACTGAGGACATATGTAAACTAAAGCTTCTACAATAGTCTACATTTAATTGATGATGGTTCTTCACAAGCGGACAGAAGGAAAGTTTCTAGATTTCTAGAATTAAAAGAGCATCTATTGCGAAAATATAAAGCATTTATTTACCCTTGAATCGGCTCGAACAGCTGCCAATGTTTCTTTGATTTGTTTGACTTCAGTCGTAGTGATTCCGCCAATGACAAAAATTATTATCAAGGGGTTGTCATTTGGTCGTGGCTTGGCAACATTCATGAAAAGCCTGAAAGGAAATTTATTTTCATCATAAATTCTTGTAATCAATTCAAAAGACAAGGAAATAAGAATGAAATAGACAAAAAAATCCGCCCCCCCCCATTTTTCAAGCACTTCTGAACAGAACATCAAATTGTAGTACTTAAGACTCTAACAACTATACTGAGTTGGTAATCGTTACTAAACAATTCATAAAAGGAAAAAAAATCAATTGATTTAGAATCAGAGTAAAAGCCTGTTCCCTCTTATTATTGGTTTAATACTTGTAAAATCCTTCTGTCTTATAGTTGTCTTTAAAGTCTAAAAAAAAAAAAAAAAAAAACTGTATTTTCTGGTTGGTAAAATGTTTGTTAATTGAAAATTGATTATCTTAAAACTTGTTTCTTAGATTTTCTATATTTGTTGTTCTATGAAGTGTATTCCCTCTGCCTCAAAAGAAACCCCAAGATTATACTGCAACGACATTTAATGTACTGGCATTATGGATAGGAGACCAAGTACTAGTAATCTGGCTGAAGAAATGTGTGACTAGTAAATCAAGTAAATATACATTTTTCTAAGAACTGTAACAGTGAATAAAATTAATTTAAATGACTGAAAATAAATTTAAATCTTTTTTAATTTTTATTTGAAAATGTCATATAATAAGGTATAAGGGACGTAACTGTCTTCTTTTTTTTTTAAAATATATAACAGGTCATTTTTTTTTTATACATTAGTCATTTAAAATGCAACACAAGTATTTGCATTTTGCATAGATGTTGGTGCAGATTTGTAGGTATTATAATGGTGCAGATATGTGGGTGGTGTAATGGTACCTATGCACGGGTGAAGGTCAAGCTTAGTAGCTCTGAAAGAGAAATTAGATTCTGGCCAAGTTTATTACATTCACTTTCACCAAAATACCATTGGGAAAGGTATAAATCCTTCTTTTCTTACCCTACCTATAGGTTATATAGCAGGGCAGACTGACATTTCTAGCTGTGGTTGTTAACCAGTCTATGAGGTCAACTCAGAATTCAAAACCAAATGGAAAGGTGCATACTACTATGCAGCTACTGAAAATATTATGGAATTCTCAATTAACTGCTCTACAAGGTTGCTGTCTCTGTGATCAGGACAAAAGTGGAATAAAAAAAAGAAAAAGAAATTATTGCTAAAAATTATTCATTGTCTACTTTGACTAATCCATCTTTCAACTTATTATTGTTGCTTTTTTTTTGTATTGTTTGTTTGTTGTTTTTTTTTTAATGAAAGACAAACTAGCCCAATTGAATAATAAAATTCTTCACTTAGCAACTTCAGAGTCAATTAGGTTTTATTCAAATTTCAGAAAATCATACAATAAAGACTTCTTGGGAGATAACTGTCAAAGTTCTATATTCTCTCCAAATGTTTCAATTAGCAATCTCCAGCTTCCTCCAGGTGACAGTGTAAAGATGAAATATATAATAATATATCTGTTATTATGAAATTAATGACAACAAAGTGAAATGTGAGGACTAAAGCCCAGTTGATAATAAACAATGTAGTCTTTTATTTTTATTTATTTTTAACTGTGCTGACATCTCAAACAAGTGCAAGTATTCTATACCCTATATATTTTGCATCTGTGTACTTGTAAAATCTTTAATATTCACGGGTACAAATATTCAGATAAAAGTTATATTGCATATAACTTACTCTCTTATATACTTACACCTTTATTATATATACCCTTCTTTTTTTTCTACTAATGTTCACCAAGAGTGACACAAGGTAAAGTGTTATTGTGGTGTTGTATGAGCATAAGGCAAGAAGTGAATTTCATGGGGTTATGTAAGAAAGATAACAATTAAAATTCGATTTGAAGAGGTCAAGATTGTTGTGATGGGGAAAACATCCTGCCAGGAATTTGTCCCACAAAGCAGTAGTTCTTGGGAAGAAGTTGTCTGAATAGAACTTACATCTTACTATTGGAATACAAAGGGAACAGGGATGATTCACTCTTGTATACGTGGCACGGCAAATGAAGGATAAGAAGTACATGATACATTGAAGAGAAATCCTCAACTAGTTTCAAATGTTTTTTTTCATTAATTTTCTTTGAAAAATTAAAAGTTTAACATACAAAATACTCCCACTATTTTAAAAACAATTTAATTATTAAAATAACAAATACAGGCTGCCATAATCCTTTCCTTCAGTTCATCAAGGAGTTTTGTTGGTCTCTGGCTCAACTGCACCCCACACATAATAATCAAGGGAGTTGCAGTCTGGGGATAGGTAGCCAGATGTAAGGAGTAATGTGGTTGCAGAAATTGTGTGACAGCCATGATTGGGTTCACCTGCTTGTTTGACATGATGCAGAGTCTTGTTGCTAGACATAGGGTCTTCCAGCAGCCACCCTCTTGACCCAGGGAAGCACTACTTCCCCAAGGCATTTGATGTAGGCCTCCGTGTTGAGTCTGAGGTCCTCACCAACAAATTTGGGAATTCTTTTCTTATCAGGGTGATTTTTCTGATCTCCAATACCTTCGTAATCACCATTAAACTCATCCAACTCTTTCTGAATCTTCTGCACTGACCTCAGATTGACACCTAAATAATCTGAATGTTTGTACTGGAATTTCTAGCTCGAATGCCAAGCAGTACAACATGCCATTTCCAAATTTCTGGTGAAGTGAATTGCATCATGATGCTCTTTTTCTCACTGATGGTGCCCAACTGACCCTACCATACTTTGTAGTCAACAAAAACAAACAATGTGCATGCGCAAAATTAAAACTATAAAATGGTGACAATTTGCCCATTGAACACTGTACTTATTTAATAAAAATTCAATATTGTTTTTTACATATCTTTTCTTTAAGTTTTTATATATACAAGAATTAAGTGTCCAGCCTGCATTTGCAAGGACTATAAACAAATTACATGGTCAAATGCTTCAAAATGTTGCAATTTGGCTCCAGAAAGAAATATTTAAACATGGCCAGTTGTATAATCAAGAGTAAAAAATCCTAAGAATTTATTCTTTGCTGTTAAAAATGAAAAAAATAAATTTTCTTAAAAAATATTGTTTACTATGAAGTCCTATAAAATTAAAGAAATTATTAAGCCACAAAGTAGGGTTTTGTCAAAGTATTTTTCCAAATAAATCAGTTTATTCAAATATCATTGATTGGTTTACAATATTTACATTATTCAGACTATTGTCTTCATCTTTGTCACCATATTTGTTACGTTTCCTCAAGGACACATGGCACAGTGGATAAAGGCATTAGTTAGATCCAGTGACAGGACCCAAAGAGTATGAGTTCAATACCTGGTTAAGGCAGCAGAGAACTTAAAGAGGGGAATTAACAGGAGATAACTGACAAATAACATCCATTAGACATGGCATGTGGAACTAGAACAGTCTACTCCAGTGAGCAAAATAAAGAAGAAGTCGGGAGCGTACAATGGCTGAAACGGTGTAATAAATATGTCCGAATAATGTAAATAGTGTACATAATACCTCATCTCAGAAATATAGACAGATACTGAAAGGCCAAAATGTTGTAATAAATATGGCGACAAAGATGTGGACAATAGTCTGAATAATGTAAATAGTGTACATAATACCTCATCTCAGAAATATAGACAGATACTGAAAGACTGAAACATTGTAATCAATATGGTGACAAAGATGAGGATAATAGTCCGAATAATGTAAATAATATACATAATACCTCATCTCAGAAATATAGACAGATATTGATTGGTTTGTGAAATTAAACGAACAGAGTTGTAAATCTTGACAAAAAATGTTAGTGATATATTCAACGATACTAAATACTGTGAGGATTTTCAACACATCAGTATATTACAAAAAAAAATTTTATTAACGTAAAGTTAATTTTGTTAAATGAGCTGTTTTAATCATTGTACACAATTTTCTTCTGACTAATTTTGTCCTTTTTATCTTTTTTAAATGTTTTGGCTATGTACTCAAGAGGAAGACTCAACTATATCCTAGAAAACAACATCTGAGAAAGGGCAAAGAGTACATAACTGTAATATTGTGGGAGAAAAAAAAGACTAAGTAATTAGTCCAAAAAGCTACATACAAGAATTTGTTTCTTCAATATTCTGGAGGAGATGCCCAAAAAAGGTTATACCTTTTGAACTGCATCATAGATGTTTTCTTTATCTTTCAGTATAACACTTTGGCATGGCACCAAGATGGCCTGCTGCAGAGTGCATGCTTTTTTTTTCTTTTTTTTTAAGTTAGTATTGCCAGAAACTTAGTGACTCAGTGGTAAAGAAACCATACTGTTATAACCATAAGAGATTCAAGCTTAAAGTAAACACTTTTTAGTTCACATGCATCTAGTGTATAGAATGTGCTTGACTGCAACTCACCCAAAGCCTGTTTTTAATAAATCCTTCAGCCCTCCAGATTTACATTCAATATCAACTAAATCTGGTTTGTTTGTTTGGTAAAGATGTTCAATCATCTGCTTCAAAATTGGTCTGTACATTGGTGGGTTATTTTGATCCCCAGGATTAAGAACAGAACTGTGAAGAAAAAAAGAAATTGAAAGTTTTCAAGAGCTGTTTCATAAACAAAGTCAATTCAGGTACAAAGCTTTATTTTAAGAGCACTCTGTAGAATTAAGCCCGCTGTCAATAGCTTGTAAGATTCGCATACATGATTGATTCATTTATTTCCTTATGGCTTATCAACCCTTTTCAGGTTATTTAAAGCTAGAAAATATTTTTGGATTGCAAGAATATTTTTTTTTTTGAGATAATAATGATTTAGTGATACAAGTCTTAATAATTAACCCATAGCTGGGGGGAGAAGAGTGAATTCATACCTTTCCCAAGTTTATGTGCATGTAAGTGAATACAATGAAACCAACTGAAAATGGAACTTGGCTCTTCGATTATCAATTCCAAGCCATTATCAATTACAGCACCCACACATGCAAGCTTACAGCACCTAGTATTCTTAAGCAGTCACTCATCTCGGCACTAACCAAACTCAACAAGATTAGCATACAGACTATGATACTAATATGACTTCTCCCAGAGGATAAACATAAATATCAGTATACTATTTTGACTTTTATACTTTTGGTGATCTAATTTAACTATCTGATGAATTTACCTTTGTTTTTTTTAATGATTACATTTTACATTCTTCAGATGTTCTCTAGGAATTTCTTGTACTTGTTAATAAACATACACTTGAGGAATGATGAGCAAATGTCAGAAAAGAATGCAAGTAAGTCACATTAGGTTAATTCCTATTGTGGCTGGGTCAGATTAAATATCCATCAGAAGAAAACTGAAGACCCCATCAGGCAGTAATAGTAGTAACTAAAACAAAAAAGATGAGAATGATTAGTTCAAATCATTCAACAATGATTTCAGACATTAGTTTTTATATATTATATATATATATATATATATATATATATATATAATAATTAACAAATAATTCCGTTATTATTACTTTTTTTTTTTTTATATTTTTCCAACGAAACATGACCCAGTGCACATGTTAGTACTTCGCATGTCCCTTCCACAAAGTCATTCCTTGGCAGATTGACCACAGATTCTCAATTGGATTTAAATCAGGAGAGTTTCCAGGCCAGTCTATAATACTTTGATTTGCTCACTGGTAAGGCTTGCCAGTGTGGTCATGCAGTGTTACAATTTTCATATGCTTCCTTGGAGTAACGTCCATCACAAACAATGGCCATAGGACAACTAATCAACAGTCAAGACAATAGTGTCTGGTGTGATATAAATCTGATGCAATCATGAATGATGCAATATTTTTCAAGACCAAACAAATTTTATCATACACCACGAAAATAGATTCATATTACTGCACACCACTGCAAATTATCTAATCTGAGGAAAAAATAGAAATCAATTACACATTGTCACTCCAGTGAGTCTAAAACTGACCAAGTGGTGAAAGAAAGAAAACTAAAGTGGTTGTTTCAATTAATTTGCACAAGAGTGTGTATATATGTATATATAAGTAGTGAGGTAAAAAAATCCATTGGTATATAATCTAAGTGGATCCTAGTAACATAAAAATATTAGAACCGATTCACAAAAAAAAGAGCTCAATGTATTTTATTTATACAGAGCAATATAATTAATAATCAAACAAATCCTTTTACCTCATATGGGGAATAGGCTATTTTGGCAGACAACGAATGTGGTCGTCTGTCTTTACAACCCTGAAGAGGAAGTGGGAAGTATAGTAGGAGTTAACTGTGAAGAATCGATATTGGAAGCTAAAGGGTCAACCTAAACCATAACTTGCTGAAAATACTTAATAGAGAGTTTACACTTTTCACTGTTTCAGTTAGATGCTAGGCACAAAGCAGGGCTTAAGGAGAGAGGTAAGTATCTTAAAGGGGAGAAGTTTTATTAAAAACAAAAAAACAGAATATTAACCTTATGATGACAAATTGGGGCTATTAGAGGAAAAGACAAATTATTAACTTGAATTTAAAATTAAACAAGAAATTAAGAATAAACACAAAAAATAAAAAATATATAGATAAAGAGATGTAAGGGATTTACGGAAGGAGAGTTAGGAAGATATTCTAAGTAGAGGAAAGTTTATAAATTATAATTAATATAATATAAGAGGTTTTAGAGGGGGAGGGGAGTAACTTAGGATCACTAAATAAGGCAAAATTCCTCTATGGAAATTAGAATTAGTTTTTTGTTTTTTTATTTTTATGTTGACATTTGAAAAGTTAGAGGGGATTGGAGTTGGGGAGTGATTTTGGGTAGCTCATTAAGGCAAAATTATATTATGGAAATTTGAACTTGGTTTTATGTTGACATTTGAACGCTAATTCATTCCTCTGGTTCACTAGTAGGCTTTTATTATTGGATTTTATTATTTTAATTTTTTCTTCTAAGCATAAGTCACACCTATTTCTAAAACTATCCAGAGTTTTTTGCAGAACCTAAAATTTTCCAAACTATCTGTGGGTTTAAAATTTTGTGATTCAGTTCCCCAAATTTTTTTTGAAAGAGCTGTTTTGTATTTAAGCTTAGGGTCAGTGAATGAGTGCTTATGGGTATAAAATCTTTGTTTCCAATTCCCCGCAGAAATTTCAATGTAAAGTTTTTTTATTTTCCATATTTTCTTTGGGGGGAAAATGGTCGCTTGATATATAACCCTGGTAGATTTGCATTTGCCCTCTACTAGACAATTATCTTTTGATCTAAGAGGGTTTAATACCAGGTTTGTTGTTGGTCTCATAGAAATTCCTTATATATATATATATATATATATAGTTAAGTAATGAAAATCTTTGTAATCTGTATGGATAATCCCAAGGAGGATGAAATCCTGAGAGCTCAAAGTTAAGTCAGAGCAAATAATTTGATTTAAAGAAAAACAGACCACTTTAAGGCTCCATTACTTATAATTTATTTCACCAGAGAATTTTATTTTTCTCTGGATCTTCAGACTTCACTTTCAAAGGTGAAAACTAAAATGAATTCAAAATTTACACTTTTGAAGGGCAGTATTAAGCTTATATAAGGTGACATAGAGGGTGGTGAGGAATCGTGCGAGAGACATGGTCGAGTTTAGAGAGGGAAGGGAGAGTTTTAAAATTTATTTTTATTACAATACTTAATATTGAGGAGGAGGTGGTAAGGATCAGACTTTGACCTATTTAATTGGTCAACTGAACAGAAATGATATAGGAAAAAAAGAAAAGGAAAAAAGCGGGGCAGTAAAGGGGTAAGAGATGTACGTAGGGTTTTTGGAGGAAGGAGAGGAGTGTTATAGCTTTAGCAATTTAGATAAACACAGATTTTAATGTTTGATAGTAATTTAAATGTTTAAAAACTCCACAAAGAATTTAAGTTTAATGCTTGTTAGCAATTTAAATATCTAACTTCTCCACAAATAAATTAGGGATTTAATATAAACCAAATGTATTAAAAAACAAAAATTTACTAATAGTAATATTTTAATATTGTGAATGACTGTTAAAGTAAAATCTTTATCAGTCAGAGTCTAATTTATGAATTTAATTTGAAGCTATTTTTAGATGGGTAATATTTCTTAATTAAAGTTTAGGTGTGTATATATATATATATATATATATATATATATATATATATATATATATATAATAACAATAAAAAATAAATAAATTAATAAAAAAGTTAATGATAAGAGTTGAATTATACCAAGAAACAGTAGTATTAAAATGTACTCAATACATGTATATAAAAAAAAATAAAAATTTAACATGTAGAACTTTTAAGTATAAAAAATTAGGAGATCAGCTGATTCCGCTACCTTGGTTTCAACCTTTTGGTATCTTCAGGCGATTTCCGTCAATTGATTTTCTAATGCTTCATTTAAAAAAATTTTTTATGGACATTATATTATTTAAAAATAAATAAAGTGCACAACATGAGGTGTGGTAGAAGGTGAGGAGGAAAGCAAGTCTATTAGAAATGTATCAATGGGGGGGGGATATACATACTTTCATCCCACTTGATATGAACTTGAAAGGAACTTTTTAGTATGTATACAATGGGTCACAATCCAATTCAATACAAATCCAATATCTCACTCAAAAGGTTTTTTGGTCTAGAAATGTTATTATAGATAACTTTTCTTGTTGACAAATGTTGTAGATATTTCTATGATTGTTCTAAGTTTTTTTTTTTTTTTTAATTTTCCAGTTTACAATCAGATCTTTTCATTTTTTTTCTCTTTAATTTCCACACATGACAACTTGTAATTATACAATATAATAACAAGTCATCTTTTAAGCTAGAAAGTCTTAGGAATTCTACTAGACTACCAACTGATACATTTCCAATACACTTGTTTTTCTCCTCCTGCTCCTCACCTTCTACCACACCTCATGTCATGTGATTATTTATTTATTTTTAAATAATATAGCATTCATAATCTTTTTTAAATAAAGCATTAGTAAATCAATTGACCAAAATTGTCTGAAGATGTTGAAAGATTGAAACCAAAGTAGCAGAAGTTTATATATATATATATATATATATATATATATATATATATATATTTAGTCTGATATGCAATCTCTTCGTCACCGAGGCCCATTAGAACAGTTGGTATGATGTTTTCATGACAACCTAACTGTCAGGGTTTCAATTCTCGGTAGTGGATGTGCACTGCTGATGAGTCCCAAATATAGGATGAAACGGCCGTCCAGTGGTTTCTGCATTCTGTTGAGGTTTCTATCAGACTCGATGAATTAATTAAATATATATATATATATATATATATGTTTTTTTTTTAATCATGCTACTTTGATTTGTAATCTTTATAGTAAAAAATAACTTGAGTGTTGGAATTATTTTTGATATATCAATACTTATATTGATAATGTAGACTCCATAGATAAATTAAATGATTTGACATACCTAAATAGCTTAAGGTCTTCCCTGGCATCTCCCACTGATTTTAGTTTCTCCCAGACATCTTCAACTATAGCTGATATTCCACTCTCTGTATGACAGTCTTTCACTGAAAGAGAAATTAACTCTTACATTTTATACCAGACAAAAAATACATTTTAAAAAAAAAAAAAAAAAAAAAAAAGACTGAATTTAAATTTTTTTCATTTCTCTAGTCTTCAGAGAAACAATTCTAAAAATTTACAACAAAAATAATGATCAGTCAGTTATGTGCCATGCGTGATACATGCTTAGGTGATCATGTATCATTTGATACATGACTGATGAGGCAGATTTTTTTCCCGCAGTAGGTTGCCATTTCTTTCTGCAATAGACCAGTTGCCATCCAAGGCTATAGAACCCAGTCTGTCCTGCTATTTACCCATAGCTGGGAGAAGAAGAAGATTCATACCTTTCCCAAAGATATTAGCATGTAAGTGAATGTAATGAATCCAACTGGAATTCGAACTTGGCTCTCTGATTCCTCAATCTGAGCCACTATCCACCATGCTTTCTACTCCTTGACATTTACATTTAATATCACAATAATTAGTTAAACTAGATAAATGTTGTTAATTTACAGTACCTAGGTAAACATTAGCCTACTAAATAACTTTGCATATATCATATATACTCATGTATCATGTGAACTTTGAAGACTCAATTTTGAAGCTAATTTGACTAAGCTTTGTTCTGGATTAGATATTTCTTTAGTGCTATAGTCCTACTCTACAGGAAATGAGGGTAGGTTTTGGGATGTCAACGAATACTTGTCACTTTTGTAATGCTTGTTGTAGTAGAGTTTTTTTTAAATCACAGATACAACTATAGTAATGCCATTGAACAATACTAGTGTCAGATACCTTCGAAACACTCTTGCACTAATAGTACTTGCTCGATAATACTCACTCAAATAGTAATCCATATAGTGATCAGTATAGAGAACAGTGAACTGTATAGTAATAGAGGATAGAAAAGAAATAGTGATCGTATAGTAATAGAGGATAGAATAGAAATGGTGATCAATTAGATGCCACGCTAATTCCCATATATACATTTCCTTTACTATCATATGATCTACTTATTTCAAATGGGATTGCCTGTGTTTGCTCTCTGGTGATCTGTGTTCAAACCCAACAGTAAGGTATGTCAGCTCATACCTGAGCAGTTTTTGTGACCCCTACCACCTTCTCCTCATGGGTCCTTTACTTTTCCTAAAGAAGTGTCTCAATACCAGGGCTACTGGTTTAGGCATGATGTTTCCAACTCAAAGAAGTTCTGCTACTTTGATTTGTGGGCAACAACCTCATTTTGAAACCCTCTACCTTGAGTGGCTTTTAGGCCTTGTATTGGGTAAACGATAGCAAAAAAAGACACAATAACATAAACAACCAAAAGGCAGAGGAACCCATCTGCAGAAGGTGACAAAGATGAACAACTACTCAAAGAAAGAAATACCCAGGGAAGAATTTGCCATGAACCCAGGTATTTCTGAGAAGACTGCAAAGACTTTAGACTTGGGCAAAATGTGGAACTAGGTTAAAGAAATGTGGTGGATCCAACAAAAATCTTGCATGCTCAATGCTTTCTGACCGTGATGTGGATTGGTCTGGGTGCACAACAAATTTGGGGTTTATGGGAGGAGGTGACCAATGCATTCATTCAAGACAATTTTTCTCATGAGAATCTATGTTACATATCTATAAACCTACCATTCGCCCATGCTTAGAATATTGCTGCCATATATGGTCCAGTGCCCCTGCTATTTACATTGAGTATCTTGATAAGATCCAAAGAAGAATCAGCAACATTATTGGTTCTGATCTGGCATCTTGGCTTCAGTAACTTCCCCATTGCTGTAAGGTGGTCTCTCTGTGCCTTTCCTATAAATACTTTCATGGTAATTGTTCAGATGAGCTCTTTGCTATGGTACCTAAAGTTTTTGAATTTAAGTGCAGTACTAAACTGGCATCAAGATCTCATCAATTTAGAGTTAAGCTGGCTAGATGTAGCCGTAAGTTCTATACTAAGTTTCTTTTCTCATACTTCTAACTTGTGGAACTCCCTTCTGGCTTCATGCTTTCTAACCAAATTGCAAAAATTTAAATGCAATGTCAATTGCTATCTACTTTCCTCCTGATTACTTTTTTCTCTTCCCACTTATTATTAATGTTTCTGTTCCTAATTCTTCAACACCCAGTAACCCCTTGTGGCTTTACTGCCTTACAGGAGGTGATATGGATTAAAAATAAAAAAATAAAAATTTTAAATTTGGCCTTCAATGGCAATGAATGAAAATTTTAAAAATCTGTTTTGATTTTTTTAAAATAAAAATATGTAAAAATGAGTGAATAATTTTGGAAAATTTGGAGTGAGACTTGATAATATAAGAAATACAATCTCAAATTACTTACCAAGGGTTTTCGTCACAGGAGGAAGATTGTTGAGTTCTGTCATGATTTCTTTTGTAATTCCAGCCTACAAGACAAATACAGATAAACATAAAAGAGGTGCCAACTCAGGTATAAGACACCAACGTTCCTATATACAGACTACAAGATTAATGAATCTACATAAACATAGTCATGAATATAGAAAATAAGTATTCAAGAAACTACTATACTTAAATGATGGGTTCCTGCCATACAATAATGGTTAACAATCTAATCTTGGTGACCATCTGTTGGTACAGTCGGTTTGAATCTCACAAGTTTAGATTGATTTAATGGCATATCAATTCTTGTTGGGTTGTTTAATGTCATATAGGATAAAAATCAAAAGGAATCATTAGTTAAGTAGACATAGAGTTTGCAAGTACCACCCAGAAGATATCCCCTTTTGTGAAGGGATCTTATCTCTCTGCATAGGATGAAGTCAGCATATTGTCAGCCCCATCAACAAGCAGAATCTTATTGAAGACATGTCAAAAAAAACTAAGATTAGTAAATATCTCCTTGATTTGAACTGGTTAAAAATTTGACAAGATTAAATATGATGATCACCTTCTGTTGTAACTGACGGTTTTATATTACTTGTAAAATCTACATTATTTAAGAGGTGGAAATGTCATTATTCTGAGCAAAAATATCATGTTGCAATTGGTTCTTTTTACAGGTGTGTATATGTACATACAATTTAGTTTTGTGATATTTGGAAATGCCTTGACACTTAATTTTAATTTCGTTATCTCTGAAATATAAATACCAGTACAAGGCCTGAGAAGATTGTGCAGCACTAATTTTCACAGTTGTGTAGGCCTAGTTGCCTTGAAAATCAGGATCTGAAAAACTTGCTTTTAATTAGTTTTCAACATCAGCCAGTGACACATTCACAACTACCTCAACCACCTCCAATCTTTTATAGTGACAAATATTGAGAAATGAAATTAAATGCAATTTTGTTACATTTTTTTATCTATTAGCAAGTGAAGTCTGCTTCAACAAACCAAATAGTTGTTAGGTAGAAAGAGAGAAATTAATGATGTCTAAAGGCAAGAAACAAAGAACTCATTTAAAGAAAATGCCAATGATTGTATTCCAAAGTGTAAGTTGGTGAACAATTATGATAAATACAAGACATCATTTCATTTCTCCATCATTATAAAACATCATTTTTCATTTCTTCATCATAATAAGGTTACTAGTTTTTTATTTCTCCATCATTACAAGACATTTTTTTTCATTTCTTTCTTTATCATTACAAGTTTGGTTTGGCTTGTTTTACGGCATATCAACCTCAATGGGTTATTTAATGCTGACCAAATTTTTATTGCTGGTAACATTTTGTCTCGTCAAAAATCTATTTCTGGTAATAATTTTTCCTTCAGAACTGTATTGCTGGTAATATTTTTTTCTTCAAAAACATATTGTTGGTAATATATTTTTTTTTTTTTTAAAATGTATTGCTGGTAATAGTTTCTTTTTTCTTCAAAAATTTATTGCTGATAAGTGTTTACAAAGCATTTCTGGTATTAAAACCTATTTTTACACTTTCATAGTGCTTTGACCCGAGTTTCAGGGTTAACTAATTGCCCATAGCTGGGACCCTAACAGGTGCTACCACCCTGGGTCATGGTGGACCTGGGAACGCAAGCAATTAAGAGGTGGTTCCACGCTCTTGATCAGAGGCCTTGCTGCTGGACGTAGTTTATCGTCTTACCCAGGACGTGGATCGTCATACCCAGAATGTTCATCATTACAAGACAGGCATTTCTAAATTGATAGTTTGGTTAATAGTAGTTGCTTAGTAATCTTGACTTACTTTTGACATAAAACCTTTTAGTAACCTTGACTTACTTTTGACAGTATATAAAGGGGGGGGACTCATTACACACTAGTAATAATTTGACATATTCACTAAATGTTAATTTGCTTTCCACCAATGAAGAAATAAATACCAAAAAAAAAAAAAAAACAACCTTCAGAGTTTCATTTACTCTTAAAGAAACGAAACCTCACTATGGTTAACAAGCTAGTCTCATAGACTATGAGTAATGTGTTTCCCCTTTATATGCAGCCTTATGCCAAAAGTAAGTCAAGGTTACTAAACACCTACTCTTAACTAAGTTATCAGTTTACAAATGCAAATTTATCATCTTAACCAACATTATTATCAAGAAAATGAAACAACTTGTCAAAGAATATTCTCTTTTACTTATCTAAATGAATAAAATACCTGAATGGCTGTGTAAGATGAAATGGTGAAAGTGGAAATAAAATTGTATATCTTTTTGCTGTTCAATAAAAACTGAGAACAAACCTCACAAAGTGATTATATGTCGGTAGAGAAAAAAATTCTCTAAATTATTAATTACCACATTTTTTTTTTAGGTGGAGGGGGTATGCATTGTATTTTTGTTTTTTGTTTTTTCAGAAAAAGAAATCTAGAGACAAGGAGTGGTTACTTAGATATTAATTGTAAAAGCTCATTAAAATGGTTCTACCAATGTACTTTGACATACAACTGATGTCAGCTGGAAGCCAGTTAACTGGAATTGCAGAGATTATACAAACTTCAAACTGTGAAGAGATGAAAGTGTCATATGGAAACAAAAAGTAAGTGATGAGGAGGTGGTAAAGAAGTGATTTCTTACTCTGCAGACATAAGTACGTTATTTACTAACATTAGAAAAGATACATTTGAAAAAGAAGCTGAAACCAATATATGAAACCACACGCAATAAGACAAGTGAAGGAGTTTAAAAAAAGTTGTTATTTATCAAAATATATTGCATACAAAATATACACCTACACATCTATATCACAGAGATTAGTCTTATATAAATGTGGATAGGAATGTTTTTTTTTTTTTTTAGTAAGTGTTCACCCAATACAAGGCCTAAGAACCACTCAAGGTAGAAGGTTACTGAATGAAGTTGTTGTCTAGTCATACGAGAGGAAGTAAGTGCAGATTATCAGGATATATAGGATAGGTAATGGCTGACCTGAGACTTGAGGGATTGTAGGGAAGCAGTTTGTTCTCAGGAAGAAAAATCATAAAAGTGAGGAGAGCTTGGCTGCCTTGAAAATCATGAACAATATTATTTGAAAATGTTTTTTATTTGGGCTGCAAGCAAATTGAAATAAGCTTCTAGCTTCTTGCATCAATTTTGATCTTCAAAACTTTAAATGCAATGTCAATCGTTATCTTCTTTCTTCTAAATTCTTGTTCTTTTATTGTTTTTTCTCTTTAATAGTATATTTTTATCATATTCTCTAACACCTCTTGCATCTTAGTGGCTTTATTGCATTGCTTGGGGTGAAATGATAAAAAAAAAAAAAAATGACATTTCATTTGATATGTAAAATAAATTGACCAAATTACTTTAAGGTCATCTTAAGATCAAGTTTTTCCTATCATGTGCAAAGAACAAAACCAAAATGAATTCTGCTTGCATTTTTAAAAAAAAAAATAATCAAACATTTTGCACAACTTTTGTCAGGAAAATAAATGGAGATATGTTTTTGCATGTTAGCTTAAAATAATAAATGAACTTCATAAAAAATAGAGAAGAGGAAAGGCAACTGTCTGAATTCAGATAAGTATTTAGTCAAACTTGTAGACACCCCTGGGGAGTATAGAGCCATGGCCTAATCATGCTCAGTATTGTTGTTCTAGTTTCCACAGTAGGTAGAGTAAAGTTGCTAACTTGCACTCAACTGGTTTTAAATTCAGAGTTTTTCCTTTTCCTTGACTGGTTGCTAACCAAGGCTAGAGACCTCACTCTGCCCTGTTATTTAAACCATAGCTTGGGGAAGAAGAGATAAATTCATACCTTTCATGAGAGTATTTGTGTGAAAGTGAATATGACCTTGATCAGAATTTCAACTCAGATTGTCAAATCTGATTTTCTGTACCAATAATCACTAAGCTACACACACACACAGACACGCATCCAAATAAGTATTACACTGCAACATATATCTATATATACACATATATACAGGGTGCGATGGATAAATTGCCGTCTAAATTACACAAAAATGAAAATAACACTGACATCTCATTTTAACAGATATATTTACCAAAATTACACAAAAATATTTCAAAAAAAGTCATCGGCTTCACCATGGCCCCCAGACAACTTCAGAATCTCCTGCAACTCTTCTGAATGGTCTCCTTGTTTAAATTGGTGAATGCTACCATAATCCTTGTCTTCAGTTCATTTTTGGTGTTACAAGGGGTTTTGTTGGTCTCTTGTTCAATTGCACCCCACACATAATAATCAAGGGAATTGCAGTCTTGGGAATTAGGTGGCCAGATGTAAAGGGTGATTTGACTGGGTGATGTAAAGGGTGATCAGAAATTGTCTGACAGCCATGATTTGGTTCTCTTTCTTGTGCGGCATGGTGCAGAGTCCAGTTGCCAGATATAGGGTCTTCCAGCAGCTACCCTCTAGGGTAGCACTACCTCATCAAGCACTTCATGTAGGACTCCATGTTGAGTTTGAAGACTTCACCAATAAATTCAAGAATTCTTTTCTCATCAGAATGATCAGAGTGAGTTTTGTAAGCTGCTGTACCTTCATAATCACCATTAGACTCATTCAACTCCTTCCACATCCTCTGCACTGTCCTCAGATTGTCACTCAAACATTCTGAAATGTTCGTATTGGAGCTTCCGGCACAAATGCCAAGTAGTACAGAATGCCATTTCCAAATTTTTGGTGGATTGAATTGCATCATGGTGCTAATTTTCTCACAGACAGTACTCAACGGACCCTATTATACTGTGCAGTTGACAAAATCAAAAACAATCAACTTGCATGTGCAAAATTAAAAATATAAAATAGCGACAATTTACCCCTCATACCCTGTATCTAAAACATATATATATATATTCCCTATGCCTTTTCTATAAAAACTTTCATGGTAATTGTTCTGATGAACTTTCCTCTATCATACCTAGACTTTATGAATTTAACTCCAGTACTAGATTGGCAGAAAGGTCTCATTTTAGCATTGAAATGGCTAGATGCAGCCGTACGTTCTATATTAACAGTTTCTTCTTTCACACTTCTCGCTTGTGGAAGTCTCTTCCAGCTTCTTGCTTTCAATTCAAGTCAACTTTTCAATTTTTATCATCTGTCTTTTTTATTGTTTTTCTCTCCTTAATAATGTTCTTTTTTGTTTTCTCATATTCTCTAAGCATTTGGACAGCAATGTTTCATTGAATATGACAGACAAGGAATATTTTTTCTAAATTTTTTACTGATTACTAAACACATAAAAGAAACATGTGCAAATTTTAATATTAATTGTACCTAAATTTCAATAAGGTGTACTGAATAAAGTGCTTATTTGCGTTGAAATGATTAAGAAAAACAACAACGAAAAAAAGAAGTATAAACAAAAATTCCAATCCAGCAAGTCATACATAAGAGATTAGTGTTCATTCTCTGCAATTAACATGACATCAATGCACAGATGTTTATGCAATTAATGTCAAGGTTGTTTGTATAATCACGGTGAAGGTCGTCTGTGATAGCGTTAACAAAGGGAGATAACTTTTACGTCACAGAAAAACAGATCTCATTTCTCTAAATACCACACAGTCGATGTATAAGATTCTAATTTTATATTTAAGTGTGCAAACGCAAACTGACATGATTAAGCATTTTTCATGGAACGATAAAAATAATGTGGGAGGAATCTTTGCAAGCGATAAAATGAGAAGATTATATTCTTTCATTGTTTGTTGGAAATAAAAATATTCATTTTTTTTACTTTTAAAAACTGGAACAATGTTAACATTTTCAAAGCAAATCTTACAAACAAGTAATTGCAGGTACCGCCACAGTCCACAGAAACGTGATACCTAAGGTTTAAAATTCATTTTTAAAAATGAAAAATATTTCTTGAAGCTTTTATTTTAGTTTTAATTTCAAGATAATAGATTAAATTTGATATTTGCAATAAGCAAAATACTTTGCTGTATTTCAAGACAAATTAAATAGACTGTAAGGAATTCATTTTTAGCCATCTGTCATCACAATGTAATTCTCTTTATTAAAAATTGTTTCAAGAATAAAGTATACTTTTCTGAAACTTTATTTTAGAAAAATTAGCTGATCTAAAGTTTAACTAATCTGATTGAAAACATTTACTTTAAGTTTAAAATATCACAGAAATGCATTTTTTAACACAGAAATAACTGCTTATTTAAGGTTTTGACAAGTTGACAGCTGGACTGACACAGAAGTTTGTCTAATTTTTTCTATGGTGTATATATCGGTAAAAATTACTTGAAGAATATAAGGCCTTTTTTATATAATTTTTAACTATGCTGTAATCTTAAAAATTTAAGAAAATATTCTCTGTAATCTAATGTTTATTGAATTTTAGGTACTTTGACTTTAAATTTACTATAATATTGCTCTTATTTTCTGATAATGTTGTGTATGGATGTTCATATTTATAAAAATAGGCATATTTATATACATACAAAAAAAATTCAAAATTCTTTTTCAAATATTGGTTGTCACTAAATTGTAATAAACTTTTCCATGTAGGATTAGTAAATACAGATTTTTACTTAATAACAATATCACCTAACAAATTAAGACAGAATTTTAAAAGATTTGAAACTTTATAAATTATTCTAATTAAAATTTAAAAAAAAAAAAAATGAAAACAATTTTTGTAAAAATTCATTATTCATTGAAAAATTTTTTTTTAAGACAAGTGTCCTTAATATATTTTATTCATAAAATCAATTAAAAGCTTTTCAAATTAAATAATGTCAGTCTTATTTCATTTTTTATTTTACAATTCAGAGCAGATTTTTTTTTTTTTTTTTGGTATTTTTGGTTTTTCTGGTTTTTGCAGGTTCTGTTTTATAAAAAGAAATTGATGATTTAAATTCTCCAAGGAGTTCTGCTTTAATTAATATATTTGGAACAAAATTTAATAAGGTTAAATCGTGGGAGGGGTTGTAACAAATGTAAAAAAAAAAAATTTTTACCAAGATTTCCTAAAAACAATTCTAAAATAATTTCATTCATTTGTAAATAATTCCTGAAAGTTTTGTTAAATTCTGACAATTATTTGATTTTTGCAAGAATGTCTAAATTAATGATTTTTTTCACTGAAAAAAAAAAAAAAAATTGCTAAAATTTCCTATACTAATTTATGGCCTTCTATCTTCTTAATTCCTAATCTTTTATTATTCTCTCTCCTTAATAGTATGTCTTTCTTTTTCTCATATTCTTTAACATTCAGTAACTCCTTGTGGCTTTGTTGCTTAGCTTGGGATGAAATGATAAAAAAAAAAAAGCATAACTAAATTGCTTAGTTATTCAAATAAAGTTATTTTCTGCTTTAAACAACCTTAGCATTTAGATCACAGCTTGAAACTAAAAGTGAGTAAGTAATGTTGACATTTTTAATAATATATTTTGAAAACTCTAACAAATATTATAAAATGTTATAACATGCCATTTATGAAATAAACAATTATGAAATTATAATTATTATTTTCTGTCAATTTTATGAATAATATTTTGGGAGGAAAGCAAGAAGGAAACTGAGAAAACGTTACTGAGGAGAAAGGACAATAAAAAGAACAGGATTCAAGGAGACAGAAAATGACGATTGACGTTGCATTTAAATTTTTGAAGATCATAGTTGAAAGGAAAGCAAGAAGGAAACTGAGAAAACATTACTGAGGAGAAAGGACAATAAAAAGAACAGGATTCAAGGAGAAAGAATATGACGAATGACGTTGCATTTAAATTTTTGAAGATCATAGTTGAGAGGAAAGCAAGAAGGAAACTGAGAAAACGTTACTGAGGAGAAAGGACAATAAAAAGAACAGGATTCAAGGAGACAGAAAATGACGATTGACGTTGCATTTAAATTTTCGAAGATTGTATTAGAGAGGAAACTGAGCGTTACTGAGAAAGGACAATAAAAAAACAGGATTCAAGGAGAGAAAACGTTGCATTTAAACTGAGGAGAAAGGAAACTGAGAAAAATGAGGAGAAAGGACAAAAAGAACAGGATTCAAGGAAACAGAAGGTGACGATTGACGTTGCATTTAAATTTTTAAGATCATAGTTGATATGAAAGCAAGAACCTAGAAAAGAGTTCCAAAAGCAAGAAGTACGAGAGAAGAAACTCTTAGAACAGAACTAATGGTTACCTCTAGCAATTTTATCGGTAAGAGGATGAGACATAGTTGCATATTAAAAAGTATTACATGATTTATACAGAATCTTAACTTCTGATCTGATATTACAAATTATGTTATAAAATGCCATTTATGAAATAAACAATTATGAAAATGCTGTAATTACAAAAATTTCACCGATTCCATTTTATGAGAAACACAATTCTCAAATGAGTGTATACTGCAGTGAAGTAAAGGACTTGGTCTACACAACACCAAGTATCATTGTTTAATCTACATAAAACATTCAAAATTATATTTAAACAATAAGGCCATTCTTCTTTTCTTTCCTTTAGTTTATTTTCATCGCATTATTCATGATTGTATCAAAATTTTTATTACTCGACAGATTTTAATAATTTTGGTGCATCTGATCTGATGACTCTAATGGGCATCAAACAAAACATATGCCAGTATTTCTGAGATGAGGTATTATGTACACTATTTACATTATTTGGACTATTGTCCTCATCTTTGTTGCCATATTTATAACATTTTGGCCTTTCAGTATCTGTCTATATTTCTGAGATAAGGTATTATGTACACTATTTACATTATTCGGACTATTGTCCTCATCTTTGACGCCATATTTATTACAATGTTTTGGGCTTTCAGTATCTGTCTATAGTTCTGAGATGAAGTATTATGTACACTATTTACATTATTCGGACTATTGCCCTCATCTTTGTCGCCATATTTATTACATTTCGACCCTTCAGTATCTGTCTATATTTCTGAGATGAGGTATTACGTACACTATTTACATTATTCAGACTACATGGTACAGTGGATAAAGGCGTTAGTTAGATCCAGTGACAGGACCCAAAGAGTGTGAGTGTGAATTCAATACCTGGTTAAGACAGTGAAGAACTTAGAGAGGGGAATTAACAGGAGATAACTGACATCCATTAAACATGGCACTTGGAACTAGAATAGTCTACCACAGTGAGCGAAATAAAGGGTTCAGCTCAACATTCCAACCACCTGAAGAAGGCCGGGGTAAAAAACAGCCGAAATGTTGTAATAAATCTGGCGACAAAGATGAGGACAATAGTCTGAATAATGTAAATAGTAAAACATATGCCATTTAAAAGAAAGACAGAATAAAGATTGAAAGAAAATTGCAAACTACAAATTTTACTTAGAAATGGAATTTATTGTTCAGTTTCAAGAATCATATGAAGCTATTGGAATAAAAGGCAATTTAATCAAAATACTAAAAAGTCATCTTTTGATAATTCCATGTTTTACCCAATTGTTCCACTTGTAAAAACTGGATTTTCCAATTTTATGAGAGCAGAAATTTTTAAAGAAGAAAGTAACATTCTCTTCTTAAAGGCTCATAAATGAAAGAGGGAAGGGAATGTTGTTCAACAAGAACGTTAGGGTTTGTCAATTTTTCTTACCTGTAATCCTCGTTCTTCTTTGGCCCACAAGTACCGATCTTTTCCCGCAAGTGAATAACAGAAAAGAAGGAGACACCAGACATCATCCAAACTGTACAACCTGGTCAAAATAAGGAGTTAATATCAATTATAGTTATCAATTATATAGTCAGATATTATTTAAGTTTATAGTATTCTTTATTATAATCCAGGATAATGTTTTCAAACATTTACTCCTATTAAAACCAGTTAGTTTCAAAAGATTTTATTTAAAATTAATTAAAAATTTATTCACTTATTATAATCAAAATTTTATCTATGCTGTTATAATCTAAAGTTACTTATAATAATGAAATTAATAATAATGAATGTAAATTGTTTCAATATTTTATATCCTTTGTTTTATGTTATCTTTTGAGTATTGTCATCTCAAAGACTGTGTCCAAAATTAGTCCCAATAAGCAGCGTCCTCTATATTTAAGGTAAATTTTGTGTAAAGAGATTTTGGATATCTCCAAGTTTTTGTTATTATATACAAAACTAAAATAAAACTAATATTTAATAAAAGCTATTTTAAAATCTGCACCTGATAAGCATTTATTATAAAATGAAATTAATTTCAGGTTTAAATGAAACTTTAAAAAATAAATGAATTAATTCCAAAGTTGACATAAAATTGAGATAATCATTATACAATGAAAATTGTAATCAAGTTTCTAATTCTATGATTATTGTTATGGGACTTTACCCATAATAACATAATGGACTATTCCATACGTAATAAATACTGCGTCTCAAGAGGAAGCAGAGATTTCCGTTTGAAGTCTGGAGTTCCATCTGAATTCAGAGAGTTCAGTCTGAAGTCTGGAGTGAAGTCCGTCAATCAGTCAGAGCGAGCGAGTCAGTCAGTTGAGTCAGAGGTAGTCCAAAACAGAGTCGTGTTCAGACAATTACTACTAAACCTGATTGTTCGTACTAACACTTTTCTACCTCTCTGTATATATTCCTGTTTGTAATATATCTGTGTTATTCCATATCCGCCTTCAAGTTCTTTATTGGTTCTACCTTGTACTATCACCGTGGTACAAGGAACTGGACCATAACAATTATTAAAAGACACTGAAAGACTTGCCTCCCCATATTAATAAAATAAAAAAACATGAAGTACACTATCATGCTTAAAAGGCTAGGATTAAAGAAATTATCAATTACAACTGACATATACAAGAGGAAAAAATTCTTGGTTTGACCACAAAACCCTTCCAAAATAATTCTGTTTGGTCAGATTTTGGAAAGTCAGTATCTGTCTATATTTCTGAGACACATGGCACAGTGAATAAAGGCGTTAGTTAGATCCAGTGACAGGACCCAAAGAGTGTGAGTGTGAATTCAATACCTGGTTAAGACAGTGAAGAACTTAGAGAGGGGAATTAACAGGAGATAACTGACATCCATTAGACATGGCACTTGGAACTAGAATAGTCTACCCCAGTGAGCGAAATAAATGGTTCAGCTTGACATTCCAACCACCTGAAGAAGGCCAGAGCGTACAATGGCCGAAACGTTGTAATAAATATGGCAACAAAGATGAGGACAATAGTCCAAATAATGTAAATAGTGTTTGGAAAGTCAGTCAAGAACTTTTCTGCTCCACTTCAGAAATTGGATTTGAAAATAATGAGGTTAATTTATGTAATATCTTATATATATGATAAAAAAGGTACTTTTAAGATAAGCTATATTTATAGAGAGTGAGGCATGGTGGAGTAATGGATAGCAGCTTGGATTGAGGAATCAGAGAGCCAAGTTCAAATTCCAGTCAAAACCATCACATTCACTTACATGCTAATAACCTTGGGAAAGGTATGAATCCTATTCTTCTACCACCAGCTATGAGTAAATAGCAGGACAGACTGGGTTCTATAGCCTTGGGTGGCAACTGGTCTAGGAGAAGGTAACTCTGAATTCAAAACTAGCCTGGAGAAGGCTGGGTTTTGTCAGGTTATCTTACCCAAGAAACCTCACTTCTAGTGTAGCTGCAGTACACATGGTGCCTCTACGATCCTGATGAGTCATGGGATTCATGATCGCAATATTTATAGGTTAAAATGCTCTATATCAGGGATAGTGCCTATGTAAATATAAAAGTGGATATTGAGATCAACACCGAGCAGCAACAACCTGTTTCATGCAATCTTCAGGCCTGAAGACTGCCTTTTGACTGTTGGATGTTGACCTCAATTAAGGTTAATTCATTCACAGTACCTTCTCCTGAAATAGCATAAATCTTGAGTTGCATTAACTTTCTTAAAATACTGTATTTCACAGCTTATAAGATACTTTGGTGCAGTAGACAACCCCGAAACATTTTGAAGGAAAAATTTTAAAAAAAAAGTTTTTTTTTTCCTTGTAATTCATAGACCTCTCCACTTTCCTCAATTTTACCCACTGAATAGCATATTTCAGCAACAAAACCTGACAAATTCATCACAGACCAAGAAGAAGTACCAGATTTATGGTCACTATTTAGAATGTAATAATTAAAAGAGAATTTAACTCCAGTTACTGACCTTTGATTTAGAGGAAGGCAGGGTAGTTTTTAGTGTTATTTTATAGAGGGAAAAAATGCATCATATAAGCAGCAAATTATGTTATATGCTATGAATAAATATGCTAATTTTTTAAATTTCTTTAAAATAATAAGTTTAATAAATATTCAAAACTTGATAAACTTTATTAGCAATGTTTGATTACATGAAATGTTCAACATTTTAATAAAATTTTCATTACCTTTCCTGAGGGGCTTTATGCTTCTCACTTTGACACATATGAAGTATTTCAGAAATTTCATTGAGAGGTGAGACATTTTTCTCTGCAGTGCTTTGTAAAAGAACTTTCTCCATTGCTTGGAAGTGAGTTAATTGGTTGTTGGACGGATGTTTAGCTAGCTGAACCAAGGCCAAAGCAATTTGTATTGTAGTCAGATGAGGCTGCATAGTTTCATATCGACCTCTAGAGAAGAAAAAACAAAAGTAAAAGACAATTTTAAATCAGAAATTGAAGAAATTAAAAAAAAGATAAAATAATTGACATTATACACTGATTAATTGAGATGGTTGAAATGGTTGACAAACACAATATAATCTTTGTTAAATTTGAGCCAATTTATTTCAAGCTCAGTTTACTTGTTGATCAAGCTGTATCATTAATTTTTCAATAGTAGTAGATAGAGTCACCTATCGTACAATTCAAACTTCTCCCTAGGCTTTTGAACAGGAGTAGATGTTTATCCCTTGTTTCTTGTTTCGTCTACTTCAACTCTATACTTCTGTCTTCACCTAAAATTCTAAACCTTTATTTACTATCAAATTACTTTTTCTTTTATAAATAAGAGTAGATAGGATTGCCTATCATCCGGTTCAAACTCTTTTCTGGTCTTTTGAACAGGAGTAAAGGTTTATCCCGTGTTTCCTGTTTAAGATTGGGTTTCCAGTTCCTTCTAAAGTCTTTTCCTTCTCTATCACTTCCAGCAGACCCTTGCATCTTTGTGGCATTATCTCCATGCTTGAGGTGGTGCTTCTTTATAACCCTCTACCTTGAATGGCTCTTGGCCTTCTACAGAGTGAATATCATTAAAAAAACGTATATAAGACAAAAGATAATAAAAACTTGGGGTAGTTACACATTCTCCACTGTTCTATGAACCAGAGATCATAAATGTTTGGTATCTTACAAGATTAAGTAAGGTTTTTCTTTGAGATGAAATTAATTTTTCTTGTTTTTAAAGTGCATAACAATTATAAAGACATGATTAGAGTGTTTCTGAAAAACTAGTCATAAGCAATATAAGTTCCCTTCTCTGAAAATAGGAGTGTGTCTGCTAGGAAAGTGCATGGTATGCACGGAAATGTTATATACAGGTAAGATAGGCTACTATCAATGTATTCATTGCTACCACTGAGTAACCGATTTCATTTGTAATTAATTTCTTAAGTCCGCACACAAAAAAAGGAATCTTTCCATCCCCAAAATAGAATATTTAACAATGATATTCATATCTGAGGGTGAATGAATATGATTAACATTATTCGACCTTTGACTGGAAATTTTCACTGTATACTGTTCAACTGATGTGCTTAGTGGTTGTGCACTGGCAAGGAAGGAGATTATGTTGAAAAATGAAGGTTTCCTTATTTTTTTCTTGGTTCCAATCTGTTTAGAATGGCTGCTAAGAACACCCACCCAAAATTTATAGACAAATTCTAAAGATGCATACTGGAATTTCTTTCTAACCAATATAAATGGACAATTCTTAATCTCATCCCAATCCTTCTTGCCTTGAAGTCAAAACGCTATAACCATTTAACTGTATCTCTTTTCCATGTGAACACAATTCTTATTTTGTGAACTTTTTGTCTTATTAGTGCTACTGTGCTTTGACTAGTTTTGATTTGCATTATATATATATATATATATATATATACATACATATATATATATATATATATATATATATATATATATATATATGTATATGTATGTGTGTGTGTAAAAAAAAATTTATTTTTAAAAACAGTGCTCAATACAAAAGTAGAGCTTAAATTATAAATTTTTTTTAAAAATATGATTCTTTCACTACATAAGAGTTCTCATGTTTCAAAAACAAGAGCCAAAAACTTCAATATAATTATTAAAATTAAATTAAATATCTGTTTCATCTTCAAGCAAAATTTTTGGATTCCAGAAAATTCTTATATAGCAAAGGAATCATATTTTTTTTTTATTATATATATATATATATATATATATATATTGTTTGCTTAGTATTATTTTACACTGTTCTTTTTTCTTCCACTTCTTATTGTTTATTGAGAATTTTGTCAATTACACATGACCATAGCCAATTATTCCACGTTTAGATTATAGATTTATTAAAGGAGCTGATCATCGAGTCAATGTGAACGATCCTTTCCTGAGCTGCATAGCATGTGCTTCACCAGGGCTACATACAGTTTTGAATTCAGAGTTTTCCTTCTCCTAGACTGGTTGCCACCCAAGGCTATAGAACCCTGTCTGTCCTACTATTTACCAATAGCTGGGAGGAGAAGAGTTGGATTCATACCTTTTGCAAGGCTATTAGCACATAAGTAAATATAATGAACTCAACTGGAATTCGAACACGGCTCTCCAATTCCTCAATCCAAGATACAATCCATTATTGGTCATCATCAACTTACAATCTATGCAACTTATTGATGTACCAATATAAGTCTCCCCCTTTATTATTATTTGAACTCTATCTTTTCTTCTGCACCTTTTTTATGTTATTCTCTATAATTTTAACTGCTGGATAAATTTTGGTAAAGCAAAAGATTCATTTATTAATTGTCTAAGCCATTATGAGATTAAGTCCACCAGCAATCAATCAATCAATAAAATTAAAAACAAGGAGTAGATTACCAGTAATACAACATATACAAGTCTCTTGATGTTAATTGTATATGATCAGAGATGATTACAGGCCACCATCAACTTATGACAGTATGATCACGACTGCAAAAGGAAATTTACTACTAAGGGATCATCAGAAGTTTTAACTCCTTACACATTTTGAAGGAATCGACCCAAACATTGAACAATTTGCAAGGATTGAACAGATGGCACATGATGTGTTTTGTCTATATCATGAAATTTATGAGAAAAAGAAATAAACAATTCAGACAAAGCTCACCATGTGTGTGAGAAAAAACAACTCTACCGGCTACCCCAAGCCTTGCCCTGGCTGACGACTTTGATGACCCACAACCACACACTAGCAGCTAATAAGATGTTTTGTATTTGTGTGTTTTAGTTTTTTCTATGTTTATCAAATATCAAACCACCTGTATTGTATCATGCAGTGTTTGATTTAAACCTGACGAACGCAAAAACAAGAAACAAAACAATGTGCAGAGAGATGATACAAATGTCATCAAACATAAAAAAATACTTTAAAAATTATAAAAAATAAAATAATGCCTAAAGAAAGATATAGCAATTGTAAAATTAATTACAGGCTGACTTACAACCACTATGTTGTAAGTTGATAACAACCTGTAGCAATTTTTAATAATGATGGAGATTATCATATGGGAAAATGTTGTATAAATTTTTATGTATCACAATTTTATGGAAAAAACTATGACAAAAAATGGAAAAAAGCTTTCGTGTGATGATTTTCAACCTTTAGGGCTTCATTGGACTAAAATGATATTTATGTTGATACAACTACATATTTTAGGGCCCCAGCTATGGGCAAATAGTGACCCCCCCCACTCCCCAAAAAATAAAACAAAACACTATTAAACTCTAAAAATACATTATTATAGTAAAAATACCACTAATACATTTTTATATAAAAAGATTACCAACAATAAATATTTATAGTAAAATTACCAACAATATAGGACTTTACCAAGATGGAAATTATATAGAATTACCAACAATACATTTTATAGCAAAATGACCAACAATACATTTTATCTGTAATTGAAGGCTTACGACTGCGTTTAAAATATACTTGAAGCCATAAAATTGTGTTCAAAATATTTAGATTTCAGCATTAAATAACTCACAGAGGTGTTGATATGTCGCTAAACAAAAACTTCTAACCAATCACATACACATAAAACAATACACATAAGTACAAATGAATTCGCAATATCATAAATTTTTTCATAAATATTCCTTGCCAAATAATAGATTCAGCTGGAAACAGTAAATCTATAACACAATTTGCAAGTAGCATAATCTTTTTTTTTTATTCTGTATTGGGCTCTCCATGTACCAAAATCTGCTCCATCCAACCAATACATAATTATATTTTCAGTGAATTTATACAGAAGAGTCATCAATTCAGAAACAGATATACAATGAGTTCCAAATTCTAATGGCACAAGCCCTTATTTCCAATTATAAAAGAGGTGTTTTACTTGATCAAAAACAACTTAACATTTTAAATGCAACTTATTTAATGTTTTACTTACTTGAATAAATTAAGTGTTGCTTTTAAATTCTCATTCATATTACGGTTTTTAGAGACCTTGACTGGAAGCTTTTTTTGTACTGCAGCTTCAAGAAGTCGATGGTTGACTTCAGACAATGCATCCTAAAAAAGAATTATTTTGCGAACATTAACTCTACATGATAAGCAATAGAAGCATTTAAGCAAATAATACTTTAGATATAAAAGTCTAAGTGGCATATAACTGTAATAATACATTTAAAATAATATCAGTAAGTCTTTTTAGACAAAAAGTTTTACTCATTATTCTTTTATATTATCCTATTATAATTGTGCTTGTTCCTCCTTTTGTTGGTTAGCACGGCCATTACGCCCTGCCAATACCACATAAATAATAGACTATTCTGTATTTTGATTGTGTGCAAAGAGAAGAAAAGACATTACTTGGTTTCAGTGAGAAAATGAAGGAAAGAAGGGAAGATAGAAATGGGGAGAGAGAATCAGATTAAGCTGATAAGAACAGATACTACACTTTGAAGTCAATCAAAACTCTGAGAAGTAATGGCGACCATGATAAAATACACCATTTTTCAGATGCACAATATCAAATGATGAAAACCATGTAAGGTAATCGCCAAAAAACCAGTTACCATAAATAAAATAAACATTGTCTGCTGAATTATTTTAAAATTATTATTAAGAGAAATATTCCTAAGACAGGGATTTGGCTAGAAAGAAAGAAGAGAAGATAGAAGTGTTTAATGACTCCTGCCAATACCTCATAAATAATGGACTATTCTGTTTTGAAACTACTTGGTTTCAGTGAGAAAATGAATGAAAGAAAGAAGGGAAGATAGGTGTGTCTCCTGCCAATACCTCATAAATAATGGACTATTCTGTTTTGAAACTACTTGGTTTCAGTGAGAAAATGAAAGAAAGAAGGGAAGATAGGTGTGTCTCCTGCCAATACCTCATAAATAATGGACTATTCTGTTTTTGAAACTACTTGGTTTCAAAAGAAAATGAATGAAAAATGAAAGAAAGAAGGGAAGATAGGTGTGTCTCCTGCCAATACCTCATAAATAATGGACTATTCTGTTTTGATCATGTAGAAAGAGGGGAAAAGATACTACTTGGTTTCAGTGAGAAAATGAAAGAAAGAAGGGAAGATAGAAGTGTTTAATGACTCCTGCCAATACCTCATAAATAATGGACTATTCTGTTTCGATCATGTAGAAAGAGGGGAAAAGATACTACTTGGTTTCAGTGAGAAAATGAAAGAAAGAAGGGAAGATAGAAGTGTTTAATGACTCCTGCCAATACCTCATAAATAATGGACTATTCTGTTTCGATCATGTAGAAAGAGGGGAAAAGATACTACTTGGTTTCAGTGAGAAAATGAAAGAAAGATAGAAGTGGTGATAACACTCATATGTGTTTAACGGCTGTTTCAGTGAAATAGAAAAAGTTGTCAATTTCAAATCTTTTCATTTGTATCCCCTTACTTCTTAAAATAATGACCAGCATTCATATTTATGATTGTTATTGAAATATTTTGTAATTTTCCTATTAAAATTTAAAGTGCACTCCAGAGTTTTAGTTATTCCACAAATGTATGGTCCTGAAGTATAAAAGGTTGAGAAACACTGCTGAACACCAATGTCAGTTAAAATTTTTAAAAATTGAAATTTAGTTTAAGATGGTCTACATGAGTACACCTCAGAAAAAAAAAATCAAAGATTATCAGTGTAAATAATGTGAGCTTCAGTTTAAGATAATTATATAGAATGTGCGAAACAAATTGTTTCTACTCTTACCTTCTGTTTAGCTGTAACAAGTGTTTCAATAAGTTCTTGCTCATTATCATCAAGGCCCGAGAGAAGTGAACCTGGAGCGATGACAGATTTATCCGCATGAACAGAGCAAGTATCCATGGGACACCTAATCGGAAAAACAAAGAAAAGGAAAACCACTACAAAAAAGTTTTTAAATACATCACTCGTTTCCTTCTCTGTGTGTCATCCATTTTGCAAGGCCCCCTTTCTCTATACGTCTATCATTCTGCAAAGGTACTTTCTCTATATGTCTACTATTCTGCAAGGCCCCCTTTTCTTTATGTTTACTATTCCATGAAGCTGTCTTCTCTGTAAATGTACTATTTTACAAGGACCCCTTCTCTTTATGTTTACCATTCTGTGGGATAAACTCCTCTGTAAATCAACTCTACATCCACTATTTACATTGTTACGTATGATTACTAATCTACTTAACCCTAGAACACTAACCATGGGTACATAGTACCCAGCACAAATTTTCCTATTTTTAATTACAATTTTCAGTACCTGATTTTCTTACCTAAATAATGTTTTTCAGTTCCTATTAATGTTAACTCAAAGTACAAAGTTTGAAGTGCTTGCATGTAAAATATTTCAAATAAAGATTTATATTTAATATTTTTTTTTGATATTTTCAAAATCAGGTATGATATACCCATGGTTAGTAGTGGTGTAACTTTAATTGATGGTTAGTGTTCTAGGGTTAAATAGTAATATTTTATATATATATATATATATATATACACTTAACATAGATTTCTTTAGCATTTATCAAAAATTAATCAATTCCTTTCATTGTAGATAATTGAAAACTTACTGGACTAAATTCCGATATGATTTCTCAGAAAATAAATTTAGATTATCTCTCCCTGACTGAGTGAATTACAATTTGAATTTCAAATTGAATGATTGAGAACATCTTCATTAGATTGTCAAATGTAAATTAAGAAGTGACAAAAACCAAACAATCATCAAAATAAGAATGAACAACAAAAAAAAAAGCAGTAAAGTTTTAAGAATTAAGGTTTGGGGGAGAGATTTTAAAACTTCACTTACTCAGCAGTTGATCTCAATGGTTCAATGTTAATCATTCTGTCAATATTGTGACCAGGAAGACAAGGCAGTGTGGCCAGAAGTTGATCAAATAACGTTTCCATTTGGTGACCAACAGGACCAACAATATCTAACGATCGATCCACGAAAATGACTGATGCTTTATTGTTGCAATTCTGTAAAATTAAAATCATTCAATTTAATTATTTTATAAAAACTATTTCCTTATTCAGTAGAGTCTCTTTCATCAGTCTAATAAAATCTTCCGTATTTATTCATGTATAATACAATTACCTATATTTATTCCTGTATAATGCAATCACCTGTATTTATTCCTGTATAATACAATTACCTGTATTTATTCCTGTATAATGCAATCACCTGTATTTATTCTTGTATAATACAATCTACTGTATTGATTCATGTATAATACAATCTACTGTATTTATTTGTGTATAATACAATCTACTGTATTTATTTGTGTATAATACAATCTACTGTATTTATTTGTGTATAATACAATCACCTGTATTTATTCATGTATAATGCAATCTACTGTATTTATTCATAATACAATCTACTGTAGTTATTTGTGTATAATACAATCACCTGCATTTCTTTGTGTATAATGCAATCATCTGTATTCATCTGTGTATAATGCAATCACCTGTATTCATCCATGTATAATGCAATCACCTGTATTCATCCGTGTATAATGCAATCACCTGTATTCATCCGTGTATAATATAATCACCTGTATTCATCCGTGTATAATATAATCACCTGTATTCATCTGTGTATAACGCAATCATCTGTATTTAGTCATGTATAATGCAATCATCTACTTTTATAAGTAAAATATAAAAATGTTTGTGTGGAGACTGGGTACTGAAAAGTTCTTGGTCTGACCCACTTCTTAAAATCTGAACATTATTTTTACCAATGTGGCTAAAAAGAGTGTTCTTTTATATCAGAAAGTGCTAATTAGCAGGAATCTTGAACTTATGTTTTAATTTATTTCCTGTCATTTATTGAACCCTTTTAAGAGAAAGTACAAAATTGCCAAGTGTTGTACTCTGGGCTGTTATCAAGTTTCTGTTTCTACAGAAGAAAACTCCAAAGAAAACCTAAAATATACAGATTGGGTGAAAAGTGCCATGTCACCATCAGGTATGTGAAAATGGTACATCAACATCTGGCATAGAGATTTGGAATCAAAGATGCAATATAGTCTGAAAGACCTTCAACAATGCCAACTCCTGAAATTGTTGATTTAATTTTAGTTGATCAATGAATTTCAGCCAAACAAATTGCTGAGACATTGGAGATATCCATAGAATGTATTGGATTTATAATTCATGAGCAATTGACTATAGAGATGCTTCCAGTTAAGTGGATATCAAAGAGTTTGGATGCTGAGTAAAAATTATATTGAGTAGGCATCTAGTTGATTTAGTGGCATTTTCAGAAATCTAGTGATGATTTTTTTTTTAAATGATTGGTTTGGTTTGTTTTACAACATGTCAACCTCAATAAGTTATTTAATGCTGACAAGATATTTTTTTTTAAATATATTGCTGGTAATATTTTTTCTTTAAAAATTTATTGCTGGCATTAAAATTTATTTTTACACTTTCATAGTGTTTTGACCCCAGTTTGGGGGTTAACTATTTGCCCATAGTTGGGAACCTAAAAGGTGCTACCACCCCGGGTCAGGGTGGACCTGGGAACACCAGCAATTAAGAGGTGGTTCCAAGCTCCTCAAAACCTCCTGAACAGAGACATTGCTGTTGGATGTAGTTTATAGTCTTACCCAAGACGTGGATGTAGTTTATCGTCTTACCCAGGACATTTCATTTGGGAGAGGAGGCTTACCTCTCTGCAGAGGTGCAGTTGGTGTATTATGAAGCCCCAGCCGACAGGACAATTTTTTTAAATGACTTGACACCACTGATGCAACATGGTTACAGCAGGGACAAAACAACAGTTCATTCAGTGTTGACGGCACTCTGGTGATTCCCAGTCAAAGAATTTCAAAACCTCAAATTCAGAAGGAAAGGTCATGGCCAGGGTTAAGGAAGTTATTTTGATGACTATCTTCAGAAGAACCAAATAGTGCAGAATCCTGTTCTGGCTGTACCAATTAAAAGCATTGAAAGAAAAATGGTGAAGAAGATTGTTGAAAATGATTCTTTTTAATATGACAAGGCACCTGTCCACTGGGTAGGCAAGATAATGGATTGAAGTATTTGGGATTTGTATGCAACAACATCCATCCTACCCACCAGCTCATGCTCCATCTACTTCCTCTTTCCAAACATTAAAAGGATTTTGAAATGGAGGAAATTTTTTAAATTATCTAGAGGGGCTTCTCTTTCAATGAACAAACATTAGAATTTGGCCCCCAGGTCCAAGAGTTGAAAAACTTGAAAAATGATTTGTCAAATATGGGTGAATACATAGAATAACATATATGTTTTATAGATTTAAGTCATTTCTTGCTGGGTGCAGCCTGAAAATTTTTTAGCATCCCCTTGTATATTTTATTTTTGATGCATAATGAAATCCCAACTTTATTATGCATTAAACATTTGAAAGTATCAGTTCCCAGTTTGTACAAGGCATCATTTTATCATTAAGATAATTTTAATAACCAGGATTTGGATGTCTTCAGCTGTTTAAAAAGGAATGGTGTCAAAGATAAGGGTTTTAACATAAGAAAGCATCAATGAGCTGGCCATTCATGTAAAGTAAATTAATATTAGAAGCCAATTGAACCAATGATTTGGTTGTTTTTGTTTAGTAGTGTTAGGGGATGCTAACTTTCTTCCCATATAAAAGACAATAACTCAAAATACAATGGAGTTACTTCCCTTGTTTGGGAGATCAATGTGTCACTTCTGAATTCAACATGGGGACAAGCTGACATGCTCATGGAATTCATGATTTAAATCCAAACTAATCCTTGCTGTTCTCAGACAGTAAATGAATAAAAGTTGTTTTATTTATGTATTAAAATACACTTGTCTTTTATTTTTATTTGTTTTTGTTCATCCCAACAACCTGGGATATAACAATTTTTTGGATGGGTTATTTAATACTAAAGTCTAAATATTTTGTACACAATGTTTCTTTCTTTTTTTTTGGACATAATAATGGTTTAGTGATAAAAATCTTACTAATTAACCCATAGCTAGGTGGGGAAGGGCTGGATTCATACCTTTCTTAAGAGTATTTGCATGCAAGTGAATATAATGAACCCAAGTGCAATCAGAATTTGACTCTATGATTAACAATTCTGAGCCATTATCCATTACACTACCTGCACCTCCAAGGTTACAGCACCTGGTATTCCCAAGCAGTCACACATCTGGGTACTGACCAGATTTGACTTTACTTAACTTCAGTGATTGTATGAGAACATAATGTAGCCATAAGCCCATTTGAACTAAGCAGTCATATACACAAATTGGCCGTTTATGAGTAGAGTCATTTTAAAGAAGGCCCACTGTATGTAGCAGCAAGTTTTATTGATACAAGTTTTGTTCATCCCAACAACCTGGGATATAAAAAATTTTGGCAAAATTGTTAAAATATCAGTTCTGTCTTAAACCTCCCATTTTAGTTTTTGAATTCGGATAAAATAAAAACTTTTTACATTGTACACAAGTATTGTTTTTGTTATATGTGAGACGTTAAAAAAAAATTTTTTCAAACATTTTACACATGTAATTACCATTAAATTTATGAATGAGGAAAAAAAAAGATCATTTCAAACATTGTGCTTTTTTTATATATGAAAGAAGTTTGCATTTCTTTGATTATCTCTTGTAATCACTTCAGAGGAATATGTTTGTAAGAAGAAACAGAATAATAATTTTGATTAAATTAAAGTAAAATATCTTCAGATCTTTAAATCAAAATTCCATCTTGTTTTACTCACCTTCCGTCGTGCCTTTGCAGGAGGATAATTCTCTAATTCTGTAGCAAGTAATCGACTGGTGTGGCCCATAGAATAGACATCTTCTTTCACGGATAATTGTTCCAGGAAATCATTAAAAGATGATATAAACATCTAAACAGATAAAAGAGAATACATTCTATAAGTAAACATTTACATGCACAAAAATCCAAAGTCATTGAATAAAATAAGAGTCATTCTGTTCTTCCATATACACTCAAAATAGGATCAGTGAATAATGGTCATTCTGTTCTTCCATATACACTCAAAATAGGATCAGTGAATAATGGTCATTCTGTTCTTCCATATACACTCAAAATAGGATCAGTGAATAATGGTCATTCTGTTCTTCCATATACACTCAAAATAGGATCAGTGAATAATGGTCATTCTGTTCTTCCATATACACTCAAAATAGGATCAGTGAATAATGGTCATTCTGTTCTTCCATATACACTCAAAATAGGATCAGTGAATAATGGTCATTCTGTTCTTCCATATACACTCAAAATAGGATCAGTGAATAATGGTCATTCTGTTCTCTCGATAAACATCCATATACACTAGAAAAAAGTATTGAACTGAAATGGAAATTAAGATTTACCATAAATTGTGATATACAAATCAAGATTTGTAACTTGAAAAAGCTTTCCAAAACAAAAAGACAACCTAAATGCCTGTATTGGTAATATTGTATTGGATATGTTGATTTTGGTTTGGTGTATTTTTTTCATATGTAATACTAGATCAACATTATTACCAAGATAAGTAATTATTTGAAAAAAATGACATCATGTAATGTTTATTCAGTAGACTGTAGTTTAAAGTTATTATAAATTTTGTTATATTTGTTTGAATTTCTGGGATGACGAGTTATCATTATTTACATTCCAACTAATGTCTTCATCTTTATTGTTATTATCACAATGTTTCAGCTGTTATGCACTGCAGCCTTCTTCAGGTGTCTGTTGATCCAAGTAAACGTTAAGGTATTTCATAATGAACCCTTTATTTAATCTAAAGGAGCAAATGGTTTACATTCTGCTGTCAATGTCTAAGCATATCACATCTTGATTTTTTTGTTTTTTTGTTTTTTTCAGTACCATTCATTTATTGTTTGTCCTGTTCCTACCAAATCTAGGTACCACTGGCTCAGGTATTGAACTCACAATTATTATACCACCAAATTTACAAACCAATGCTTTAATCTGTTAGCCTAGTAGTTTAAATAAGGGATTAAATTTAAAATTCCCTGAAGTTTACTTGGATCAACACCTGAAGAAGGCTAGTGATCACAATGGTTGAAATGTTATGATAAGAAAGATGAGGGCATTAGTCTAAATGTAAACAATATAAATATAAAATTTGTATTAAATAAAATCATAAAACTGAGGTTGGGTTAAAGGAAATAACAGAGTCAATATTAATCATGTTGTTTTGTTATTTTTGTTTATCCATTTTAGTGAGTGAGTGAAATATACCAAACATTCACTTATATTGCCAGTTCAACTTATATATAGAAGTTATTCCAAACAATAAAAAAAAAACTGTGTATATATTTATCAGTCAGTGTTACTTGAATAAGATAAAATACCAAAAAAGATGTTAACTGCATTCCCATGTCAGATAAATCAAAGGACACAATTTCTTGAACTTAGCAAAAATAGCTTTTTTCATCTCTGCAACAGGGAACACTACAAAATATAGGAATTGACTGTAGTCATGATCAAGTCAATGGGAACAATCCTTTCCTTAGCTGCATAGTATGTGCTTTGCCAGGGATACATACAATTTTGAATTCAGAGTTTTCCTTCTCTTAGACCGGTTGCCATTCAAGGCTATAGAAACCAGTCTGTCCTATTATTCACACATAGCTGAGGAGGAGAAGAGTTGGATTCATACCTTTTCTAAGAGTATTAGTACGTAAGTGAATATAATGAACTCAATTGGAATTCAATCTCAGCTCTCTGATCCCTCAATCCGAGCCACAATCCATTATTCTATCATGCCTTCACCTAGCTGCACATAAAAGGAAGTACAACTGGCACTGGACATAGGGAACACTTAAAACTTGTATACAGTGAACACAACAAGGAGAAGGAAACAAATACAATGAAAACTAATTAGAAAGTTGGTAAAAAAAATCTTCCAACAGCCGAAACATTATGATAACAACAAAGATGAGGACAATAGTTAGAATGTAAATAATGCTGACTCCTTCAGAAATTCAAACAGAAAATTTTCCAAATATGGTCCCCGCCCTCTATAATTTGCATAACTCAAACCCCAATATTAGATTGTTACATATATTATTTCATTTTCTTTTCTGATGTTCTGTGAATGAACTCTAAGAATAATCTTTTGTAGCATTTTGGCTTCATAGTAACTCTGGTCATCCTTTGAAAATGTTATCTAACGTTATTGAAATTTTATTAGACACACCTTTGAGATAGAATACCAAGTAGACAAGAATGAGTATGTTCAACTTCTTCTCTTTGCTTTTAATCAGGGTCACAAAGCTGCCAAAATTGCTCAAGACATTTGTGCTATGTATGGAGATGAAATACTACAAAACAACCAAACATTCAATGCTAAGCTGTATATTGAACAAATGAACAGGCTGAAAGAGGCAAATTCAGCTGAAAAGACCTGACTGGCAATACAATGTGATTATTCAATTCACGAGTTGGGTTGGGAAGTTCTGCCACACCCTCCATATTCTCCTTATTTAACCTCTTCAAACTACCACCTTTTTCAGTTGCTTTCTAACAATTTGAGGGGTGTTTCATTCAACAATGATATGGAGCTTAAAACATGGCTTGATGAATTTTTCAAGCCAAAATCTACTGATTTCTATTGTCGAGGCATTGAACATTTACTGGGTCTTTGGCTGACAGTTCATAAACAATGAAGAGGAATACATTATTGAATGATTAATCAGAACTATTAATAAATAATAGGTATGTGTCTATAAAATGTATAACAATAAAATACATTAAAAATAATTGTCAGATTTTGTCCATTTCATAGTGTGTGACATCATTTGTTTACATTTAGATATGCTTCAAGCAGATATGATCATTTGAGGGAAATCATGGAAAATTGTAGTTTAAAAGCAGTATAATTGACCTTGCTAACCAGACACTTCTCTGTAACTAAACTGGTATAGCACATCAGGCTTTATGATGGTTCTGTGTAGGATAGAGGTTCGATTCCTGTCAGAGGACACATATTTTCTATGAAAATTTCTCAGATGTTCAGGCCAGTAAATGTCATTAATACTGTTTATTTTAAACAGAGCATTTACTTAAATATTTTGTGTCTATAAAAATAATGTATAACAATAAAATAAATTAAAAATGCTTTATCTTATGCATTTGATCTTTGTTTTGTCTTTTTGCTTGAAATAAAATAAGAATTGGTTTGGAATAGAATGTGATTTGAAAGAAACAAAAAGATTTCCATTAATTATTTGAGCTATTAAGTTCATTTCTATTGTATATTTCAACCAATGCATACTTTGAACTTCCTTTGATGTATATAAAAGAACAAACTGATTACTCGTTAAAGATTAGACTTTGATACCATTAAAAAACTAGTCTGAAGAGAGACCCATATCCCATCAAGTAGACCACGTATAAAGGGAAACAAGAGTTCACCATCCTGCCTGGAACGAGATCAAAATGGAAAGTGGGTAAGGTGAAAGTAGCAGCTTATGTGTTTTCTTTCAAAGATAACCTCAGCATGGCATTTAATAATCAATGGAAACCAATTCCCAGGTGGAAAACTGATCGATAGATTGATTCATTTTCTATGACTTATCAAACTTTTGCAGGTTATTTAAAGCCAGAAAATTTTTTTTTTTTTTTTAGATTGTAAGAATGTCTTTTGGAGATAATCATGGTTTAGTGATACACATGTCACTAATTAATCCATAGCTGGGGGGGGAGAAGAGGTTGAATCATATAATGAACCCAACGGGAATTGGAACATGATTCAAGTATAAGAATTTCAAGCCATTATCGACACATTCAACCTTACAGCACCTGGTATTCCCAAGGGTCTATCCATCTAGTTACTGACCAGGTTCAACATTGCTTAACTTCGCTGATCATATAAGAACTGTTCTTTCAATATGATGCAGCAATAAAGGTGGAAATTGAATGATATCTATTAAAGCATTCAATATCAGTAGTAAATAGGAAACTAAGAACAGAGAATGAGATTAAAATTAACAAACTTGTTATCTGTCAACACAGTTTTTTTTAGGCTGATTTAAAAATTTCCCCAACTAAACATAAAACTGACACTCAGATCCATAAATTATTCTATTTGTGGATGTGGTAGGAGTCATTAAAAATGAATTTCCAGAAGATATACAATAATTGTCAAATATGCCCAAGGAAGCACCAACCTCAAAAAAAAAAAAAAAAAAAAAAAAAAAAAAACAGCTGACATTTTGTGTTGAAAACAACAATTCATTTTCATTAATTCCCTGAAGAATAAGAACAGAGTACATTCCAAAATTCCCTGAAGAATAATAAAAGTTTATTCTAAAATTCACTAAAGTTCAGTCAAAAATTTCAGACAACAAATTACAAGAAGGGGTGTGATGATAAAAATAAAAAAAAATGTATTTTATCCTAATTTCTTATTTTCTTCTTCTTCCTTAAAATTGAAAATCAAAAAACATGAAAACAAAAGAATTCAAACATGTCTGAGTAATTGTTTAGGTTAAATATTAGTATTAAAGAGACAAAAAAGTCCCAAAACTTGTATTTACCTTAAAGAGTATTTGTGTATTTCTTGACAACTGGTGTAGTTCCAGATCTGGCAGACAACTTGTCTTTTCAGGCTGAAAGAAATTGTTAAAATTAATCTAATCATTAAAATTTATTCAATTACTTTTTGCAATCAACAAAACAATTATTATTGTTGGGTTCAGTTTTTCAAACTATAAACACAGGAATCATTAACAGCGTGAAAAACTGAAGTGTTGAGCAGAGTTCAAATTCCGTCCTAGAAAGTGTTTGTGTTTACTTTGCAGTAACTTCTTTGGAAAAGACAGGAATCCATTTCTTCTCTTTCCTGCTATTGGAGTGCTAAATAATGGTGTAAAATTAAATTTTTAGTCTTGGTTGGCAACCAGTTTAAAAGAAGCACAATTCTGAATTGAAAACCACAAACCAAGCAAAGAGTCACCACTCCACTATCTTCTTCAACAACAATCATAACAATGAACAGTTTACAACATTTAAAGAAAAAGGAATCTGCTGAGAGTCATTATCAACTATGTCCTGAAGGGATATGCCATGAGAAAAATGCAGGCAGCAATAATATATATGTGTGTGTGTGTGCATGTGTATATATATATATATATATATATATATACACACACACACACGGTGCGATGGGTAAATTGTCACCATTTCATAATTCACGTTTTAGAGAAATATTAATTGAAAATTCAAGTATACTCCACCATGAAAATAAAAACTTCAAATTCTTGAAGACTCTATATAAAATAATGCAACCAACACTAAATAAAATTAATTACGAGTATAGCAACAATATTTTAAAATATCAATAAAAGCAATATTTTGGGATACTTATGAACTTTAAAAAGATTTTTTTTAATTGCAGTTTGAGTATCTATATTTCTGAGATGAGGTATTATGTACACTATTTACATTATTCGAACTATTGTCCTCATCTTTGTCGCCATATTCATTACACTCCAGTTGTAATGTCGAACTGAACCCTTTATCTCGATCACTGGGGTAGACTGTTCTAGTTCCACCTGCCATGTTTTATGGATGTCAGTTATCAGTTATCTCCTGTTAATTCCCCCCTCCAAGTTCTCCACTGCCTTAACCGGGTAATGAACTCACACTGGATCCTGTCACTCAATCTAACCAACATCTTTATCCACTATACCATGTGTCCTTGAGGACATCTGTGCATGAATTTCTGAGTATTATAAAACTAATGTCTCAACCTCATTTTTTACCAGTGCTCATATTGCAATTTTCGCTGTTATCATCACATGTTTTTACCAGAAATCATATTGTAATTTTTGCTGTTATCATTGCATGTTTTTACCAGAACTCATATTGCAATTTTTGCTGTTATTATCGCTTTTCTCTGGCACTCCTTATTACTGGTTCCCATATTGTATTCATTTCTATGCTTGGTCAGCCCAGGAGATTTTTGTGGCCTAGCATATGTGCTGATTCCTTAAGTTTACGAATTTTCCAATGGTGTTCTTTGTCTATGATCTCAACCTGATCCCACAGAACTAGAACAGTCCTACCCCAGTGAGCAAAATAAAGGGTTCAGTTCAGCATTCCAACCACCTGAAGAAGGCTGGAGTGTACAACGACCATAATGTTGTAATAAATATGGCGACAAAGATGAGGACAATAGTCCGAATAATGTAAATAGTGTGCAGTATTTTCAAACATTAATAATAAAAAATATAAATTAAGTTACCTCCCTTGCATATTCTTAATGCTAATTTTTAAATTGACTATAATGAAGTGTCTTTTGTAGGCATTTACAAAAAATTCACAACTATTAATTACATTAATTTTTGTTTCAGCAATTTAGGCCTGAAGATGATCTTGGATGAGATCAAAAGTACTTTGAAAAATAAAAGAAATAACCAAAACTATTGTGTCTTTCTTAATCAGTTTTGTAACAACCCTAAGAAATTGATCAGAATTTGAGAAGATTAAAATAAAAACAAAAAGACATAATGTGTGTAGATTATTCAACCAAACATGCTTGAATATATATATATATATATATATATATATATGCAACAGCAATAATAAATTTCTGTTTAGTTTCTTTGCTGTTTCTGTACAGTTCTCATATTCTTAATGGTTGGTTAAATTCCACACAACTTTTGGTCAATAAATTTTGTCTTTCTCAAATATAAATGTTGTAGCTGACAGACTTTAAAAATTATTTAGTATTTCTTTTCTCTTCAACAAAAATACAAAAATTTAAATTTTAAATGTACTAATGAAAATACTTCATTTCAGGAAAGAGATGAATAAAAAAAAAATCTAAAAAAAATGAACAAATATTTTAAGATGTTTGAAATATGGAATATCCTTAAGGAAGATGAGAATTAAAAACAAATTTTATTCATATATAGATTGGACAAAATAGAGAATTAATGCTTTTTAAATAAATTTACAGAAAAGCTTTCAAAGTTGATGCAAAAGCTGACAGCATTTTTTTTTTTTTTTTTTTGAGAATAGACAGTCATGCAGCAAAATTACATGTCAATTTCCTTGTTTAGAAAAAAGTTTTGTTTTTTTTCTGGTTCAATGTGTTATTCAAACAAGCCAACTGCTCACTATAGCATTGCACACTAATAGTTTGTTCAGGTTTCAACAATTTGTTTTAAAAAATCCATTTGAATTTTTACGATACACAAAAAAAGAACTTTTTACCAATAATGGTGAAAGCAGTTTTAATATTTAGATAATTTTTATGATCTTCAAATTTATGTAATAAATCCATTTTTTTCCTATTCCGTAATCATACAGGGTTTTAGTAAATATTTCATCCACTAGAGTAGTCAAAGTGAAGAGAATGTTATTTGAAAGAAATTTATGTGAAATCAAGACAATAAATATTTGTCTCCTTGATTCAATATTTAAAAAAAAAAAAAGAAAGGAGACTTATTTGAAAGAGAAGCCAATATCTAAAAAGACAAAGCCAGTGCATTGAACATTCAGTTTTTGTGTTTGGAATTATGCATGCCTGTGCATATATATATATATATATATATATATTAGTTAAGTAATGAAAAACTTGGTAATCCGTATGGGTAGTCCCAAGGAGGATGAAATCCTGAGAGCTCAATGTAAATTCAGAGCTAATAATTTAAAGAAAAACAGACCACTTTAAGGCTCCATTGTAATAGTTTATTTCACTAGAGACATTTTAAAGTACCCTGGATCTTCAGACATCACTTTCAAAAGGTGAAACGAAAAATGAAAAAATGTTTTTTTTTCATTTATTTTTCTTTTTTCATTTCACCTTTTGAAAGTGATGTCTGAAGATCCAGGGTACTTTAAAATGTCTCTGGTGAAATAAACTATTACAATGGAGCCTGAAAGTGGTCTGTTTTTCTTTACACAATTACAATCGTGATTTAAGGCCACAAATTAATCTTTCACTCACCAGTGGTTTGACATTGCCTGAAGAGACACATTTGTGGTATTGACACATGATTGTAATTATGTAGGAATTTTTAATATATTTTTGTTTTAATATCCTAAAATAATTATATATATGTGTCTGTGTGTGTATGATAAAAATATAGTTTTAAGGTATGCAATATTTATGGGTAAAAATGTTCAATATCAAAGATAGAGTGTATTTAAATATAAAAGTGGACAATGAGGTCAACACCATGGAGCAACAGTCTGTTTCATGCTTGCATACAATCTTCAGGCCATGTGTGCTATGTTTTGGCCTGACTATTTATATATGCTGGTCAATGGTGCATTAAAGTCTATTGTATTATCCTAACAGTTATGTTTCAAATTATTCTAGAGGCTATTGAGGATGATTGATTCGTTGCTTATTTAACTGGCATATCAACCACTATGTGTCATTAATACCAAAGCTGTCAGCCCTATTGAGAAGGAATACTTCTAGATAAGAATGCAAATATATACAGGGTGTGATTGTCATCTAAATTATGCAAAAATTAAAAATAACATTGATATTGATTTTAAGACATATATTTACCAAAACTGCAAAAAAATATCTTGAAATGCTCAAGAATAAATTTATTCAGTAAAATCACCATTGGTTTCAACCATGGCCTACAGACAACTTTGGAATCTCCTGCAACTCTTCTGGATGGTCTGCTTATTTAAGTTGGTGAATGCTGCCATAATCCTTGCTTTCAGTTCATCTTTGGTGTTACAAGGAGTTTTCTTGGTCTCTTGCTCAACTGTGCCCCACACACATTAATCAAGGAGGTTGCAACCTGGAAAGTTAGGTGACTAGATGAAAGGGGTGATGTGGTCGCAGAAATTGTCTAACAGCCATGACTGGTTTCTCCTGGTTGTGTGGCATGGTGCAGAGTCTTGTTGCTAGAGATAGGTTCTTCCAAAAGCCATCCTCTTGACTCAGGGCAGCACTACCTCCTCAAGGCACTTTATGTAGGCCACTGTACTGAGTTTGATACCTTCACCAACAAATTTGGGAGTTTTTCTTCTTATCAGAACAATCAGAATGCGTTTTCCGAGCTGCCATCCTTTCATAATCACTATTAGACTCATCAAACTTTTTCCAAATCCTCTGCACTGTCCTCAGATTGACACGCAAACACTCTAAAGTGTTCGTATTGGAGCTTCCAGTGTGAATGCTCAGCAGTACAGCATGCTGTTTCTAAATTTCTGGTGGAGTGAATTGAATTATGGTGCACATTTTGTCACAGATGGTGCCCAACTGATCCTACTATACTGTGCAGTTGACAAAATGAAAAACAAACGTGTATGTGCAAAATTAAAACTATAAAATGGCAACAATTTACCCATTGCTCCCTGTACACTATATATAATGCAGACAATGTAACATACTTTAGAAAATGCGAATACCTTAAACTAAACAAATAAAATAAACATCAAAATAAATAAAATATAAAAAAAGTCTAAATAAATAAGCAAATTAAGTAAACAATAAACAAATTAACAAACTGAAAATGCTTTCACACAAGTAAATGTAATAATAATAACCAACAACAAATAAGTAATCAATAATAAATCACAATTAGTATAATACAATAAACTTTATTACCCATAATGCACCATTGACCAGCATATATAAATAGTTGAGCCAAAACACAACACACATGGTCTGAAGATTACATTCATGCATAAAACAGATTGTTGCTACTTGGAGTTGACTTTTCAGTGGCCACATATATATATATATATATATATATATATATATATATATATATATATATGCATGTGGGTTAGAATGTTTGCTTTTTGACCATGAGACTCTGGTTTGAATCTCAATATATCAGGAAGCCATCTTTATGACAAAATGTAAGGCGATCCTATCATGCAGTATCTTTGGAAAGTGCCTGAAAATCATAACATGAGTTGATCAAAGCCTTGTGATTGAAATTGTGTAGATGGAACTGTTCTGAAACTATCAATGGCTGTTCTAGCACAAAGTCACAAGATGCCATGGTGACTCAGAAACAATATTTTTAATCATTGTATACTTATGTTAAATTTATCAACAGAATTCATTTGCTATTGCATCCAGTTAACAGTTTGCATAACATTTTTCAGGAACTATTGTTTCTTGCCTACTTTACAAAAGATTCCAAAATATCACAATGACATGTGACTGCTTGATCAATCTTTGGAAGGTTTAAAAATGTGGCATGCAGAAAAAAAGTTAGATGACACAAACAAAAAAAGATAAAACAATAGCAAATACATTATACAATATTTTATTTGAGGAGGCGGATTAAGTTATCATACTTCCTTGTGTAGAAAATGCATCGAGAATTTAGCAAGGAATATTTAAGGAAAAAATAACTAAATATTTAATAGCATTTATGTATATTTTAACATCATTTTGGGTTTAGTATATCAAATAGGAGTTTTTCTTAGATGTTAACATTATTTTGATTTTTAATCATAATTTAATCATTTATAACCATGTATATTTTATTCTGAGGTCATCAAGAGACAAGTGATTCAACAGGAGTTTTTCTTAGATTTTAACATTATTTTGATATGTTGAAAGAGAGTTAAAAGGATTAGATACAAAAACAGTGAAATACTGGTTGAATGATGTCATGCAATGACAAAACAGAATCTTTCATAGATAGTCAATTGCTGAATTTATTGATACACACAAAAAAATTCACTCTTTTTTAAAATTGGTGAAAATACATTTATTTGTTTATTGGAGAGATATCTATCTAATGGTGTATTGCAAGAGTCGGTAACCTACAGCCCGCAGGCCGGATCCGGCCCGCGAAGGCATTTTGACCGGCCTGCGAGCCTGATTACCAATGACTATTTTTAACGAGAGACAACCTTCAAATGAAATTTGTTATATGTCATTTTCCATAGAATGTCTACACATCTGCCAGTTATCTTTCATGAGACTTATTTTACCAAGTTGCGTTGCCTATGTTTAATGTCAAATAATGGATACATATTTGTTATGACCCTTGGCTACATTAAAAGATAACAGAAGCGAAAGGAACGATAAAGTGAAAGAGGCCAGGGAGAGACTGACATGCGATGTAGCAGAAATCTAAAGACACTTAAACATACGCGCATTATACATACATGCCCCATGAATGTGTGGATGATACCGCATGTGTACGTACGTAAGTGTATATGTTTGCAACTATTTGTACTTGTATGTATGGTTATATGTGCTTCGTTTTTGTTTGATGTGTGTGTGTGTGTGTGTGTGTGTGGTTCGTTTGTGGAACAATTTTCAATAACAGTTTCAAACCTACACGTCATAATTTCATCCATTTCACTTTGGTTGATATTTTTCACTTTGAAATATTTTGACGTTCCTTGAGGAAAAGTAATTTTTGTTAGGTGTTTTTTTAATTTTAGATTTTCTTTTGTTTTTCTGATTTCTCAATGTTTATTTTCATTATAGTTTTAAATATTTAGGTTGACAGGGGTCTGCATATGTAATTTTCCTTAATTTTTCATTAATGGCCTTTGTCCAGCCCGCGACCCATCATTATAACACGATCCGGCCCGCAGGGTCAAATGAGTTGCTGACCCCTGGTGTATTGTAACAAAGGGAAATAAATCACAGCTATAAATTAGGAAGCAGAATAACAAAACCAGATCTTGAAGACATCTGGAGGTGGACTGCTGATGCTTGGGAAGAGTTGAACGCCACTATCATTATCAAAGCCTTCAAGAAATGCTGCATCTTGAACAAGCTCAACGGTTCCAAAGATGACATCCTACATGAGGAATTCATACAGATATGTGCATCAACAGATGTACCACAAGAAACCAATGACAATGAAGATTTCCCCACCAATACCTACTACACAGATATGTACCCCAACCTGACAGAGAAAGAATTTGATCAGTTCTATGGGTCCGATGACAAAGGCATGAATTTGAAGGGTTCAAGGATGGCTTTCCACTCACAGATCTCGGATGCCCATGAGCACAGAAAAATGACCTGGATTCCTCACATATCACCCTTTTTCAAGACTATACAAATAATTTTCAAAGAAATACCTTAGAGAAGGGGTCAGCAACCTACGGCATGCATGCCACACATGGCATGCCAAGCAATTTCCAATGGCACGCAGCTGTAAATGACAACACCAAGTCCGAAGCAATAACTATTACAACGCAAAGATATTTAGTTGTTTCAATTTTAATATATACTATATATTACAATATAAAATATATTGAAGAACAGGCATATTGACCTTGACTTGTATAAAAATATGTATACTGCTGGCACACTGAATGATTTTAAAACCATAAGTCGGCACATAGCAAAAGTTTGCCAACCCCTACCTTAGAGTGTTGTAAAAAAAAAAAAAAATTACAAGTAAACAAGTTAATATCTATTCAATTTTATTTCAATTTATTTTCTCAGTGTGTATTGGTGATTTAGTTGCCTTATACCTCAAAAGTCATTATAATGTTTTTGTAATGCTTAGAAATCCCAAAAGTAAACAAAATGTCTTGTTTTGTTTTGTTTTTTTTTCATTTTTTCTCTTCATTTTTTCATGAGTTTTGGTCATGCTCTAAAATCAAATCATAGCTTTTTTCCTTGGGATATCTCTGCTTTTTTTTAAAAACTGCATCTTATAATCCCTAGCAATATATATATATATATATATATATATATATATATATATATATATATACATACACACACACAAAGAATTACAGTAAATATTTCTATGAGAAATGCAAGTTTCTTATGTTTCTAGCATAAAAGTGAATCTGAAAGAAAGTGAAATGAAAGAATCTATGTTGAAAATGTCACTACTTTAACATAAACTATAAAGGATCATTTACAATTCTTATAAAATTCATTTTTCTCAAATATAAATAGTGATAACTTAAGTCATTTCAAGTTTAGTCATTTTCAAAGATACGTTGATTTTTCTTTAATATTATATGGAAAAACAAAACCCGTCTCAGGTCATTTTACTCGAGTTTATGTCAGCCTTTAAAAATATTAGAAACATCAAAACACTAGAATAACAATAAACACATAAAACTATATTCAAAGAAATTTAAAAATATTATATATATATATATATATATATATATCATAGAATCATCTAAAACAAAACAATTAGTATAATAAAGTATGTTCAGCAGATGTTTATATTTCAAATTTCTGTCAACAAGCGGCACTCATGCGTTTTTTACACAATACTGATTTTTTAATACAGACTGGTTTACATCTCTGCTCTGTCATTGGAATTCTCTCAACTACATTTCAATTGTGATTTAGAATACATTTTTGCCTATGGCTTCGAAGAAAAGTCCCAGTGCAAGTGCAAATGCTAAGCATAAAGTTATATCACTGGAAGATAAGGTGGAAATTAATTATTTTATTCAGAATACTATATGTATATATCATAAATACTGTAATAGGCAATGACAAGTGCTTATTTGCGGTTCATAGTGTGATTATTTCGACTTAAGTTTTTTTTCGACCTAAGTCAAGACCTCTGGAACCAATTAAAGATGTAGGGTGAGGTATACCTGTAAAAGGGTCAATGTGTGTAGAATATAAACCATACTGAAAACAAACAATTTGTGCAAAAATGGTTAAAAAAATATATATATATATATATATATATATATATATACCACCTCAAATTTCAAAGCCAAAACAGTGATAAGCAGTGTACCATGCAATTTCAGATTTACAAATCCAAATTTACCAAAATGTCTTTGCAACCAATACCTGGACATGCATTTTAAGAAAGAAAGACCCCCCCCACCAACCAAAAAAAAAAAGGTGAGCAAACAAAAGTTCTTACAGTTTCTGGATTGGGTGACTGACTCTACAGAAATAAGAAAGCAATGCATTATAAAATAATATTGTTAATAACTCTTATAGAGAACAAGTGTGGAGGGGGAGGGGAGTACAAAGAATTATTTAACTGAACATTATAATCACCTTTCATAATAATAATCATAATATTATAATAAAACAAGCTTTTCTGCTTATTTAAATTTTATATACAATATGAATATATCACTCACATTTTGGGAATTTTGGAGCCTATATATACAGGGTGTGATGGATAAATTTTCATCTAAATTATGCATAAATGAAAACAACACTGACATCTCATTTTAACAGGTATATATACCAAAATATCATAAAATACTAAAGAGTAAATTTATTCAATAGAATCACTACTAACTTCAGCCACAGCCTCCAAACAACTTCAGAATCTCCTGTAACTCTTCTGGATAGTCTCCTAGTTTAAGTTGGTGAATGTTGCCATAATCCTTGCTTTCAGTTCATTTTTGGTGTTACAAAAAGTTTTGCTGGTCTCTTGTTCAACTGTGCCCCACACACAATAATTAAGGGGATTGCAACTTGGGGATTTAGGTAGCCAGATGTAAGGTGTGATGTAGTCACAGAAATTGTCTAACAGCCATGAATCGTTTCTCCTGCTTATGTGGTATGGTGCAGAGTCCTGTTGCCAGACATAAAATCTTCCAGCTGCCACCCTCTTGACCAAGGGTAGTACTACCTCCTCAAGGCACTTTATGTAGGCCTCTGTACTGAGTCTGAGGCCCACATCAACAAATTCGGAAGTTCTTTTCTTATCAGAACGATCAGAGTGAGTTTTCCAAGCTGTCAAACTTTCGTAATTAGCATGAGGGTCATTTCCAATTCATCTTTCTGAATCCCTGCACTGTCCTCATATTGACACCCAAACACTCTGAAATGTTTGTATTGGAGCTTCCAGTGCAAATGCCAAGCAGTACAGCATGCCATTTCCAAATTTCTGACGGAGTGAACTGCATCATGGTGCTCTTTTTCTCATGGATGGTGCCCAACTGACCTTACTATATTGTGCAGTTGACAAAATCCAAAACAAACAACGCACAAGTGCAAAAATTAAAAATATAAAATAGCGAAATAGGATATGTGATATTTATGGCTAAAAATATTCAATATCAGGGATAGAACGTATGTAAATATAAAAGTGGACACTATGGTCAACACTGAGCATTGACAGTCTGTCACCACTCAGTGATCGCCTCAGTGTCCAGTTATATATATATATATATATATATATATATATATATATATATATATATATATATATATATATATATATATATATATATATATATATATATATATATATATATATATATATTTATATATATATTACTTAAACATTTTAGTAGCTACCTGTATTTGACTAGACACTTTATTTAAACAGTATTTTGTTAAAATAAAAAATAAGTGGAGCAACTGATAAATATGGGTATCTGCTAAAAATAACTTTTTAAAGTAATAAAATGTCAGAATAAAATTAAAAATCCATTAATTCTTTATAAAAAAAAGGTGTGTGCATGTGTGTGTGTCTGTGTGTGTATATATATATATATATATATATATATATGAAGAAATATACTCTTAAGGTGTGCTATATTCATGGCATAAAGTGCTCAATATCAGAGATAGAGCATGTGTAAATATAAAAGTGAACATTAAAGTCAACACTTGTTTTATATATATATGGGTCAGTGGCATTGAATGCACCAGTGACCCGTATATATAAATAGCCGAGAAAATTACAACACTCGTGGCCTGACGATTGGGTCTAGCATGAAACAGCCTGTTGCTTCTAAGTGTTGATTTCAATGTTCACTTTTATATATATATAAAATCAAATGGATAGATATAGGCAAATGTACAAGTGAATGTTCATATAAAAATACTTCTATAGTGTAAGAAAAAGCAGTGCTCAATGTTAAATAACAGAGCGATTTAAAAATATACATAATACTTTACATTGATTGCACCATTCTGAGTTTCATGCAAATGCACTTTTCAAATGCTGATATTTTTTTAGGTTAACATCGGTGTTTTAATATTTCTGGTTACTGTGAGATATTTTATTGTTCGTCTGGATTATTATTATTGTTGTTAAATTATTAAAATGAATTCTAGTTTAATTTTGGATTTGAATTTAGGCCCAGATTAACATTTAAGCTTGGAAATAAGAAGAATAAATTCTAATTTAGAGAGACACTATTGTTATCCAAAGGAACAAACAAGAAAAAAATGCTTGGAAGTCGGGGGGGGGGGACTATTTTTTTATGAAAATCAATAAAGTAATTAATAATATTATTAATATCAATATAAATAAACTTAATAAAAGTAGTGATATCAATAATAATAAAATATGCCATGATAAAATTAAAATTAAGGTACTAATAAAAATAATACATATCAATGAAAATTAAAAGCCATATAAATAGGAACATATATATATGTAAATAAATAGAACAAATAAATAAATAATAATGCAAACATATAAGTAAATAAACACATTTTTAATACTAAGAGTAAACATATAAGAAAAAGACAAAAAACAATAATAATGGTCATATATTAAAAAGGGGAATAAGATGATAAACATAATGTATTAGCAAAAATGTTAAATGCGTTGCAGTCTAATATTGACAATAGTTGTATAGTAAAGGTAGCAAAAATAACATAGTAAAAATATTAGTAAAAATAAATAATATTCATACTAGTATATGTGGTTCCTGGGTCTAGCTAGAATTTTTCTTCTATGTAGACAGGTGCTCATTAACTCACTTTTTTAATTTAAAAGATTAGGATTATTAATTTTTCAGAAAGACATAAGTTACATAAGTTACATCTGTTGCCTTTCTCCCTGAAGGATTTAGCTTTTGTTATGGATTCCCAGGTGATAATTGGGTTTTCTCTCTTTTCAGTTTCCAGAAAAATTTAAAGAGGGCAATGCTGTTATTATTTGATATTGCCTAATGTCATTTGGTGGTGGTAGAAGCGCGATTTCCAATGGTTTTCCATAGGGCACACATAAAACTTGACCTCATCGTCATATTTGATTTCAGCTTCATGAACTAACAATTTGGTCATACATTTGCTGTTTAATGGGCAGGGTTTGTTTTTTTCTGCAGTTGCAATTATTATTTGTGGAGATATTGTTGTTTTGAAGGTTGTTGAAGTGTGTTTGTTTAGAATGGAATAGTTGTGCAGTGCTATACACTGGTAGATGTTTTTAGCACAACTGTAGCTAACTTTGATGTCAATTTTGTTGAAAATTTTATTTAGCGTTGGGGAATGACTAAAGTGCTTATGATTTAAAATTAAAGAAAATTAGTTTTGACGTTTTTGTTGAAGGATAGGTTAAACCATATGGTACTGCATTTAAGAGTTTAAGTTTGTTGGCGTCATTATTGCTATTGACTACAAATTCGAGGTTAATTTTATGGTTGCTATGTTCTAAGGCTTCAACATATTTGCCTTTATGTTTGTCAAAAATATCCTTATTGCTAGAACTGGTGGGCAGCCTAAATTGGACCGACTTATGTAAATTATTCAGTATTCTATGATGGTGGTTTTGAATGTTTGCTGATGTATCTATGGTTGTATAAATCTTTATTCTTCATGAAGCCCATTAGATAGGTCAAATGTTACATCCAGGAAATTTATTATTTTAGCATTGGTGGTGGTGGTGGTAATGCTCAGACCATGCTCTTCCAAAAACTTAATTAGGTTTTTTCTTAGTCAGCTTTTTGCATGCTTGATTTGCATAGGAGTATAACCCCATTGTCCCGATAGAGGCCGGTGTCTTTAATATCGAAAATAAATTTAAGATGCCAACTAGCTTGCAAGCTTCCACTGAATCAAATGCACCTATAGCAATACTAAAGTCAGGAATGCTACAGTTGGTCTATAGGGAACCTTCATGGAACAGGATGGGTTTCTGGGCCTTTTTAATGACGTTAATGTCCTGTTTGCTTATGGGGCAGTAAATGTTGGCCAAGTTTATTGCATCCATTAACAAATTCTCAGTGATGGATGGGTAGAAATTGCAAATATCAAATTGGAGGAAAGAGTATTCGCTTTTATTTATTTTATTGAACCAATCAATGGTGTCAGCAGTATTATGCCACATGTTGATTCCTAAAGCATTTCTTGTGTATTTGCAGGCTCTTTTTCAGATTTTCTTGCTTATCCTACCAATGTTATTCTTGGATGGGTTGATTAGCTGGTATTGGGGGTTGTGTGGGAAGCCATCCTTGTGGTTTTTCACCATAATGAATGTCTGCTGCTTGTGTGATTTATGGACCCTACCATCAATTTTTAGTTCTTTGGCTATCTTTTTGGTTTCACTATTGATGGAAAATTCCCAGTGTTGGAGGGGGGTGCTTTTATGTAAGTTTTATTGACCTCTCTATTATTGGCTTTGTGGTATGTGTCAACGTCAATTTGATAATTGTTGCTCATTTCATCAGAATTTATGATAATCTTATCCGATTGCTTGATGGTGGCAATGTCTTTATACAATTTTATCTAAAGGTTATTAGTGGTGTTGGTGAATTTGATTTTATTAATAATGAAGAATAATTCTTTCTCGTAGCCCAGGAGTTAGTTGTCACAGGGTGGTGATTTTTGTGATTTAAATCCAAAAGATTCATTTTCATTTCAATTTGTGCTCAGTGGAGAACATCTTCCACCTGATCCTCTTAATGACATACTCTATTTTGCGTAGAAGGGTCAGTTCACAATGTTCTTGCCAGAGATCAGAATGTTCTTTGTGGAATACTTCAGATGAGAAATCTCCAGTAACAATTAGTGTATATTGTTTGGTGGTTTAATTACTCCAATAAAAGTGTTCTACTGAAAGGAGCAAAATATAATCAAATGGATAAATATAGGTAAATGTATGAGTGTTCGTATACAAATACACATATATATACACTATAGTGAAAAGGAAAAACTCAATGTTAAATAACAGAGCTATTTATTATTTGT